TTATAAAACCCCTATCTGTGACTGACACCATGGGTAAATCAGGGACAGTGTATGAGAATGTTGCTATCAGCTTTTCATCACTGCGCAAGTACTGATGGTGTGCTGTTTTCATGTGCTCAATGCAGAGTATATGAGGGAGAATGTAGAAGATGAAGATAGTACAGAGCAGCACAGATCCCTTATGACTCAAATCTGCAGTGCTCTGCACATGCACTAACCATTAATAGGCTTCTAGACAAAACTTCAGAGTAGGTTTCAAGCTATAAAGTCTTCAGGATTTGGTCACTTCAGAGACCACCTCTGTGAATGACATACTCCCATTGTAGAAATCATCAGTTGTGTCCAAGTGGAACCTGTTCCTGGCCTTGATTCTGAGCCCACTCTCTTTCGTTTTCTGAGGCTGCTCAAAATGTAAGCCTACTCTTTATGATATTTTACAGCAGGCACTGGATGAGCACCTCTAGTTATATTTTTAAACGAAAAAAAAAAAGAAAGAAAAGGAGTATATTTAGGCCCCATGGGCATGCATAAACTCTGGAATCAGAAATGTCTTTACAGCCAGTGAACCCAGAAGAAATACTCATATGCTGTTGAAATTAATCCAAGTAACTAAGTGAAAGCATCATAGAGTATCTGAAGATCACCAAGTGCATCCCCCCTTGCTTAGAGCAGTGTCAGCAAGAGCAGGTTGCCCAGGGCTGTGTCTAGTTGCATTTTGAGTATCTCCATAGATGGAGACTCTACAACCTCTCTGATCTATCTACACCAGTGTTTCACCACCACCAGAGTAAAAAAAAAAAAAAACAAACAAACAAAAAAACAAACAACTTTTTATTGTGTTTAAAAACAATTTCCTGTGTGTCAGTTTGTGCCTATTGCCTCTTGTCCCTTCACTTGAACCCTTCTTTCTGAGGGTGCCACTGAGTCCGGCTCCATCTTCTGTGCTCTTTCCAGCACTAGGTATTTAGATTCATTGATAAAATCGCCCTGAACGTCCTCTCTTCCAAATCTCAGCCACTCCTCATATGACAAATTCTGCAGTCCCTTAATCATCTCTGCGGCTCTTTGCTGGATTTGCTCCAGTAAATCCATATCTTTCCTGCACCAGGAACTCCAGAACTTAATCCAGTACTCCAGATGTGTCTCACCAGTGCTTACTAGGGAAAAATGATCACCCACCTTGACCGGCTGGCAACGCCTCTCCTAATGCTGTCAAGGATACTGTTGGCTACCTTTACTGCAAATTCACATTGCTGTCTCATGTTCAAGCTGGTGTTCACCAGGACTCCCAGGCCTTTTTCTGTAAAGCTACTTTCCAGCGGGTTGGTCCCCAGCCCCTAGTAATCTCTGGGGGACATTACTCAACAGGTACAGGATTCAGCATTTCCTGTTATTAAACTCCATGCAATTTCCCTTGGCTGATCTCTCCAGCTTGTCAAGATCGCTCTGAATGGCAACACAACCATATCAGCCACTCCTCCTAGTCCTCAATTCTCTGCAAACTTGCTGAGAGCGCACCCTGTCCCATCATCCAGGAATATTAATGAGCATTATTGACCAGTAGTGGCCCCAGTATTGACCCTAGGAGTACACCATTAGTAACTGGTCTACAGCTAGAATTTGTGCCATTGATTACAATATTTTGAGCCTGGCATTTCAGCCAATTTTCAATCTACCTCACTGTTCACTTGTCTAGTCAGCAGTTTGTTAATGAGGATACTATGACAGCCAGTGATGAAAGCCTTGCTAAAGTTAAGATGATTAGCATCCTCTGCTCTCTCCTCATCCACTAAGCTAGTAATTTCATCATAGAAGACTATCAGGATGGTCAGGCATGATTTTCCCTTCATAAGTCCATGCAGATGACTCCCAATCATCTTCTTGTGCTTAACATATTTGAAAATGGTTTCCAGAATCATTTGCTCCATCACCTTTCTGGGTGTTGAGGTGAGGCTGACTGGCCTGTAGTTCCACACATCCTTCCCCTTTTCTTCTTGAAACTAGGCGTGATACTGGGGTTGAATTTCCAGTCCTCCTGTGATCACTGTGACCTTTCAAAGATATTTAAGACTGGTCTTGCAATGACATCTGCCAGCTCCCTCAGCATTTGTGGGTGTACCCCATTGGGCCCCAAGGATTCATTTAAATGTTTTGATCTTCTCTACTGAGGGTGATTCTCCATCACCCCAGATGCTCCCACTGGTCTCAGGGGCCTGGAATTCCTGAAAGAAAATCTTACTTGTAAAGAGAGAGGTAAAGAAGGCATTGACTACCTCTGCCTTTTCCACCTTCTTTGTTACCACCACTCAGCAGCAGGCCCACATTTTTTCTAGTGTTCCTTCTGCTGCTGATACACTTGCAGAAGTCTTGACAGCACAGAGCTATTCAGCTCCTCACTTTTCTCTAAACTTTGTTAATGGTCTGGTCCACTAGGAAAGTTCCCAGACAGAGAAAGAAAAGCTGCTGTGGTCTCCATTTTAACAAACACATGGACAGTTTGGGCATCTTTGCTATGAGAGACTCAAATGCAATCCCTTTTTCTAAAAGGAATCTGAATCCACATTGATCCAGATTAATTCAGTAACTGCCAGGCTAAAGCAGGTTCTCAGTATCTCCTTTTGGAGATGATCTGCTTATTCAAAGCACTCAAATATTTATGAGAGCACAAAGTGGAATTTAGGTCTCCCTCTTCCTTTTCCCCACAAATGAGTGCTGTTACTACTGAAGCACAGTCTCACTCATATTTTCATTGTTACTTGTTGAATGTTTACTTATTGGTATAGAGTCTGATGGTTACACTACATTTGTCTTATGAATCTAACCTTTGACTTGACAACCTTGAAGTCTTCAGAAAGACAATGTGCTAAAAGTGTATAGATTTTAACTTTAACTCAGGCACAGATGTGAAATACAATTGTAATCCTACCTTAAAAACAGAACAATTCAATTACTGACTTCAGAAGTGAATCCTTATGGCAACAATAACCGTATTTGCTAAACCTAGCATTTATCTTTAACCTTTACTCCCACACACTTTTATAGCCACAAGGCTTGTCAGAGAGAACATGACAGACACGGCAAAGTAGAAATAAGCAAAAAGGAAGCCAAGAGTCTTGACTTTAAAAGCAAAAGTTAGTGGAGACTCCAAGTCAGAGCCTATTTTATGCATCTAACAAAACATGTTTAAACACAAATGTTGGACATAAAAAGAATGCATGAGCAAACACAAACGAAGTGCTAGAGATCACTTTAAACAGAAGTTGGCTTCAATTAGTTTATTTTTATAACAATACCATGGATTTTGGAAGATTGCTAATGCTCTAAAGTAACACTGTAACAATGCTGTAGTGAAACAAGCTTGGGATGGTAATCTCACGCTTTTAACCCAATACAAAACTGAAAATAGACTTGATTTATCCATTTCATTACATTGTCATTTTAGCACCTTCCTGTTACTACTATTAGCCTGAACTGCACACAAAAGTTACTTCGAGTTGGAAAAAAGAACTTTGGAAATTAAATTTTACCAACAGTTTTCTGGCATAACATGTATCTGTCTGGCCTCAAAAGCAGTCTGGATCAGTGATGGAACAAGGTACTTCACACTGTTGCTGCAAGAGGGGTTCCCTTTAGTAACAAGGTGTTGTTTTTGCAACTTGCATAGTACCTGGCAATCATTCTCTCTAGAAGACCACCAAAGAATGCATTCCCCCCCCCCCCCCCCCCAGTTTTATAGGTGGAATACTCAAAAAACAGGTGAGTTGGCTAAGATGACATAGTGATAGTAAGGCCAGGAAACAGAGCCTTTTGCCTGTACCTGCCACCAAACAGCACAACAGTGAAATGCATAGCTTCTCCTTTCTTTTGCCCAGTTTTCCTCTGAGATAGAGAAATAAAGACTGGTTGATTCATGGACTCAGTGACCGTCCATTGCTCTGATGTCATTTGACTACTTGTTTGTTAGTAGTATTGTAACTGCCTAAGAAAAGGAACAGCGATGCATGCCCACACATCTTGAATACTCCATTCATTAGATTTGTTTGCTTGTTGGAAGTTTGGCTTTTTCTCAAAAGGTCAGGGTGAAAGCAGCTGGACCTACACCTGAAGGCATCTCACACAACTGGCACTTCACCTGTAGACTAAGTGTTGGGTCCCTTTTGCATTAATTCTTGTGCAAATGTGTGGATTTCCTGTCTGATCTTGAAGTGTATGATAATATGCTAAGACTGTCATTCATGGTCACTATGGGATACTTGAGTTTAATGTTTTTGGTCAAAAGTACTGTAAGTGTTCACTTTACATAACCAGTGGCAATTAAAATCAGTCCTGGGAGGGACAGAAGACTGTTGCAGCATTCTGGAATTGGCATGCTTTACAATTACTCTAGCTTACAATTTGTAATAGTACACACACACGTGAGTTATTTCAAAGCAACTTAGAGACCTGCAAATAATCAGGAAATGGACAAGTTCAGAAGGTTCTTTGCTAGCCACTGTATAACCTACTGGATAGGACTTCAGCTAAGCTTATAATACACCTACAGCATTACAAAGTCAAAAAAACGCGCATAGAATCACAGAATGGTTAGAGTTGGAAGGGACCTTAAAGATTATGTAGTTCCAACTCCTGCCACATCTCTGATACCAAAATTAATTGTCAAGCAATTCAACTTTAAAAAGCTTGCCTAACAATAACATTTTTCTCTAACAGTCTGACACCTAAAATGACTATACACTGAATTACAGGGAAAACAAAAATCAGTTTGGCATCTCACATGATCTGTTTGTTTTAAACAGTAAAGCACTCTGCTACATCTATTTTGGCATTTACTTGCTAACAGCAGATGTCCCTGTGCTGCAACTAGTGTATCAACCAGGAAAACAATTCTAATTTTAAGCAAAAGGTAGAAGTTGTTCCTAAATTTCTTTTCTTCTCTCATCCTTGTTTTTTTGGTTGCTTGGTTGGTCGGTTGGGTTTTTGTACTTTTTTTCCTTTAATTGTTTTATTTTTTTTTTCCATTTCATGCTATAATTGCAGCTACAACTGGCCACAGGTTAAACACTGAACTGCACCAGAGTTCGGTGTAGTGCCCATATCTAACTCTTTCTTTTTTCTATCCCTAAACCACCTAAAATAGGAGAAAAAAAACTGTATAGACTAAACAGTGACCTCTCTGGCCAGCTTGTAGTGGAAGGATTAGAGCATTCAGGTGGAGTGAGATGTAAATTTGTCACAGCAGTGTCTACTATCCAAAGACCATTATGACTTTTCTTTTTCCCTTTGTGTGAATTAAATATTTACATTAGGTATCTGAATATTTATCACAGTAGCTCTTGAACAATATATTCTAAGGCACAGTATGCAGTTTGATGCACTTCTCCTCTTTAGAGCTTTGAAAATCCCCTTTTCCTTATTGCAAAGTGGTCAAGATGCGGACAACAGTCTTTTTTTCCCGCTCTATGATTTCTATCACAATAAATGTATAACTTCTCATAATTCCTTAATGTTTGCCTTATTTCAGCCTCAGGACTGCTGAATCATACTACAGGGACAAAATGAGTCTAAGACTGAATTGTTATCCATCTTGAGTTCATTTATATATCACAAGTTGTCTCCTCCCTTTCTGCTAAAAATACCAGCTGCAGTATAGGTATTTCTTTTCCAAAGAGATTTACATGATGTTTTATATTTTCCCAGAAAGTCTCATATGCACATTTCCAATTCAGTCTCTTCCCTAGAGGGTTAATAATTAACAAACAGACTTCCCCAGCTGGTTTTGTTCAAAGTGCCATCATCCTCCTGAATTCAGTCAACATCTATCAGAAACAAAGATGTCAAACAAAACATATTAGGCTCCAGTAATCTTTTGTGAAGTTTTGGCCTCCAGCCAGAAAATTTTATTATTTTCTAAGCAAGCTTTATTTTTCTTTCCCTGCCCAGCAGTTAGTGTGGATCAAAAGAAAGATTGCTTTAAAATGCAATCATCAAAATAATAAATACTAGCACTGACATAGCACTGTGCACCTTAGGTTAAGCCTTGCATCTGTTTTGGGTGTTCTTGTATTTGGTAACACACCCCAATGTGAGCTTTCTGGGGCTCCAGCTTTTTTCAGCATCCCATGAATATTCCTCTGTCTCCAAAGGGAGACAGGAAACCTCCTAGCTGTGTTAGGGCTCTGTTTAAATACCATTCCCATAGATGCTGAAGAATGTCCATGTCAATTAAATTTCTTCTTTTTGGTGTTTCATCCAAATGGATTAAATGCATCCAACTTCAAAAAGGAATTTTTTAATAATTTTATGATCCTGATAGAACTGAGGTCAACCATTCCTGCCCTTTCTCATAGCTTTTGGCTTTGCTTTGAATGTCATGAGCCTTACTGTCTATCCAGCAGCTCTTGAACCAGATTTGGCCACAGATACATTCCAGCAGACCCACATGGAGCTAGGAACAGCTATTTGTAAGTCTGACAAAAGCTGCCCTTTAAGTCAGTCATATCTGAGAGCTTTGAACTGGGCAGTTGCTGTGCAGGAAGTTGCCATTTCCACTGAATGTTACAAAAGAGAAAGAAAGAGGAGCTCAGTACATTCCTGTCTCCTATGCAGAAGCAAGGGCTGACGCTTATCTCAGAAGTCTGTCCCCACCTGGGGTCCTGCTTCAGACCTGCTGAGGCAACTGGACCACTCAAAGGTACATCACAGACACACCTTCAAAGTACAACTTAAGTAAACAGGCCATCAGGCATCCCGTGACCTGGGTCTGTGATATCTCTGGGGGAAAACAAAAATAAAACCAAAGACAGCTTCTTCTTTGCATGCATTCTTTTATTTTTGTGCTCTTCCTGTAGCGATTCTGGGCCTTTACTTCCTTCACCCTGGATGTAGATTTTTGGTACACAGGACAGGTTAGGTACCTCTGTGTCACTGGCTGCTGCAGTAGATGAATCGGATGATTCATTTCAGAACTGTCTTTTCTCTTTCTGAGGAAGACCACAAATTTAAACAGAGGTGTTTCTAATATCCCAGTTGCTTGGAATTTGTGTCCACAGAGATCCTAAATTCTGGCTGTTGAACACTTGTTTGGGTCAGAAATCTAGAAGATAGTTTTGGGCTAGAAGGCAGAAGGATAATGCATCAGCAGTCCCACAAACAAATACTCACCGATATTTTCAGATCAGGCTTACTCTTCTTTACCCAGACTGAATTGAAAGGGCCATCCAGTGTTGTAGATCTATTAGCCAGCACTGGTGCTGGTCTAAATCACAATTATCCAATGGCCGATCCCTGTTCTCTCTATACTTTTGCTTTCACCACTGATCAGTTTTTTCTTTCATCTTTCCTTCTATGAGGGTTTGCTTTGTCCTACATCAAGCAACCTGAGACTCACCCAACCTGGGGTCCTGCTCCAGACCTGCTGAGGCAACTGGACCACTCAAAGGTACATCACAGACACATCTTCAAAGTAGAACCCAAGTAAACAGGTCATCAGGCATGACCTGTGGTCAAGCCATGACAGTGGTCAAGCAGCTGAGACTCACCCAACTTCACTTTACATTCAATCAGGGAGGAATGAAACAAATTGATAGGGAAATAGCAATAGCTAAAATCCAAATCATCAATCCAGAATAGATTCTGGAAGGTCAGGGGAGGATGGATGGTCAAGGGCAAGATGGAGAAAGGAGCCCACACAGGCTGTCCTTCCCTCTTCCATAATTTAACTGTACTGGGATGCTCAGACACATGGTACATATGGTCCAGAGGCGCTGTGTTCAGTGAGTCAAAGCACTCCAGAAGCCTGCAATAGTAAAATCAATGTCAGCTGCATTCCTGTGTATGGTGTGTGGGGAAGAGCCACTCTGCAATTTATACTACAACTATTTTTAAGGGTAAAGTAGCTGCTGTTTCTGTAAGTATTCTATTAATCTGTTCTTTCCGGATGGAAAGCCTACTGGAGCCGTTCTGATGCATTTCCACATTTAACTGAATAGTTCCTTACATTTTTATAGTTACAATGTGTACCATATATACAACTCCATTTTCAGCATTTGCTTTTGAAACAATATTTAAAGTAATTCAATTTGCCTCTCTACATAGTTTTCATCCCACAGGACTAGCAGGACACAATATATGGCAGCTGAAACAATACTTTCTTACCTTTTTAGAAAGAATCCTTCTGATACGCTTGAATATTAAATAGCAAAATATATAATGTCTAGGTAATGTAAGCATTTAGGTAGGTGTCATATTTCAGATAGACAATAGGTAAGCCTGTTAGGATCAGGAGGAACTTCACAAAAGAAACTAGAACAGATAAAACAGAATTATGCGTAACCTGTGCTAGGACTATAACAAATGAAGCCTTACATGACTTAGAATTTTATTTTACTTTATATTAAAATTTTATGTACTCCAGCTTATTGGCAATGTCCAATGTTCGAGATTCTGCTTGCATACTCGAATGAACCTGGAAGCATCAAGCTCTGGGATGAAGTCCCAAATCTAGTGAAGCCATACAGCCCAAAGCTGCTGATGAGTCTGTCTTTTATCAGCACCATGCAAGCTTGGTTTTGGTTTCCAGCAAGGGCTTTCCAGGGGCTTCTTACCTACAACACACACAAAGTTTATGGCAGGAAGAATTGGCACAGCAGGTTTAATCAGGTTATGCCTGGGTTCAAAGGCCTAATATCATGCTTAGTATAAATTACCTGAAGAATAAATAGCTTCACAAAAGGAAAGTACTTGAGGGGCTGATTTTCAGTATTTAAAAAAGTGAAAGAAAAAATACAGAGGATTTTTTTTTTTTGTACAGCATAAATGGAAACATTAATTTTTATTCTTTTTTTTTTTAAGACGAATATCCATCTATAAAACTCTGAGAGGATACAGGAATAATTTTGGTTTTCCGATGCATGGTCTGAGACACTGACCCAGCTAATGTATTCTACCAGTCAGCCAAGTGGTGGTGGATGGCTTACAAGCCCCAGCGACTGCCACCATTTGCTGCAGGCTGGCCACCACTGTGGAACACAGGTTGTTAGGCCTCAAACTCAGAGAAAGAATCTCACCATTTGCCTTAGCTAGCATGCAGAGAAGAGTAACTTTTAGCCCACTATGCATTTCAAGATTTATCTAGTATGTACAAGTTTAGCTGTTGCCACTAAAACTATGTTTTGAATCATTTATTTCTGAGAACTGCAGTAGAGATTTATTCTGTAGGTTGAGGTTAAGAAAAGATCAGGATTTTTCAACAACAGCAACAAGCCAATGAACAAAAACTAAGCAGCAAAAATAAAGGAAATGGTAGTAAAATTTTTTGCTATTATCTAACTGTGCACTTTTGGAAATGATGAGAGTTGAGAATCACTTCAGTAGTTATAAATTACCATGGTGCTACTTGCAAGAACTGTGGCAGGCAGGGTCTAATACACTGCCTTTGACAACTGCAGTTGCTTTGTCACAGGAGGATCAGGGAAGTCTAGAAGAGCTGCAGTATAAGGAAACAAGATTATAAAAACTAAGACTTTGAAGTGAGGCTTTATTCCAAAATGATTCTCAATGCCCTTTTTTATGATTAAATTTCTAAGATCAGAATCCAAATCTCAGTCATCCTGCACAAAGATAATGGATATAGAAAAGGATCAGCAACTCTTACATTTGAGCAGTTCACAGAATAAATTGAAAAAGGAGAAAATCCATTTTCAACAGTGCTGTGGAATGATTACTCATGCAGTGGATGTCTAAAATGTTTAATAACTTTCATTTCTATGTCTTAATTTTCTTTTTCCCATGTAAATTAATAAGTAAATGCCTGCTACTACAGTCAAGAAATAAAACATTAAACCAAATCCATTTACAGGAATGGATTTGTGGCATTTTCACAGCATTTTCTGTGAATTACCTTTCCAGAAAAGGGATCAGATTGAAAACATACCTCAAAGATATACTTATTTAATACTAAGGAACCCAAGTGGATGTTTCCATCACTCACCAACCAAAAGAAAAACCCACAGACCAATGTAAGAACTTGCATTATCCCCTTCCAATCATTTCAGTGCATCCCATTAAAGTTGTTGAGAATGAACCCTGAGACTTGAAAAACGTCTTAACACAGCTTTGTAATGTTGCAGCTGTGGCTAAGAACTGACACTGATATTTGCAGTCCTGCAAACTTGAGAGTTTTACTGCTCGTTTAATTACAACTTCTAAAGGATCCGGAGAAGATCCCCGGTTTTTAACTGGTGCACAGCCCATTGTATCAGCTCTGTGTGTTCCACTACCATCTACTGGCCAAAGCGAGACTGTGTTTCCAAGCCCCAAGTGTTTCCAACCTTAGTTCATACCATTTCAGAACACTGTAAAACTGTGAATTTGCTTCTGACGGTTACTTAGGGCTGCATCAGATTGTAATAGATCAGTGCTGGTCTGAGGGGATTTAAAACCAACACATTACCAATGGAAATATTATAAATTATTATAGCTCAAGAAAAGGCCTCTTTTTTTTTTTTCTTTCTTTTTTTTTTTTTAAGCTGTGGAGTTAGAGCCCCATTGCTGAATGTATGCAATTCAGCTTTTATCCAAAACATTCTGCTTATGTAAAAATGCCCTGGAGGAAGAGTTTATTATTACAAAAGACTGGGGATTCCTGTTACTGCACTAAGGAAGGAGCAACATGATGAAAGAAAACAGCAGGGAGCTAAATCAAACAAGAATTTGTACAATGGTGCCCTGGGAATCAGAGCTGCCCAAGTCCCAGAGAGTGTGCAAAACCCCATCTTTTCTCTACACTCCCTCTAGACTGCACTGCACAGATTTCAAGTAGCCCCACTGCTCCTCTCTTGTCGTGACCCAGCCATAAAAGTGTGTGTGTGTGTGTGTGTGTGTGTGTGTGTGTGTGTGTGTGTGTGTGTGTGTGTGTGTGTGTGAAGGTAGAGGAAGGGAGGAGGCAAGCAGAAGCAAGGAGGATCCCTGCACAAAGAAGGGCAGCACTGCACCAAGTAGAGACACAGCTGGAAAGGGCTTTTCTTAGGAGTCATGTTGCCCCACTTACAATCTCGTGCCACAACCCCTCACTCTGCCCGATCATGCTGGACATCTCAGGCATACTTATGTTCCCATTGCGGACTCCCATCCAGGTGGAATGTGACAGCTGCATGAGGCATCTCTTTCCCTCAGAGACATGATGCAAGTACTGCTAAGGGGACCAGGAGGTAAATTTTCTCCTGAAATGGAATCTGCAAAAATAAGCGCATTGATTTTTTTCCAAACCCTAACATCTGGTAGAAAAGGTTTGTCATACATTGGCCTGAATTTATCCATCTCTGGTGGGGATACCCTTCCATCCCCCAAGCAAGGGAGTGGTATGGAAACATCTAACACTTCCCTTTCAGTAAACACCATCAAAGAAGCTGCATGGCAGAAGAAAGTGCAATATTAATTTGCCTGCTCAGGCTCTGGTGAAGTTCTTCGACATGGAAAGCACTTCAGTGCAACCAATGGAAGCTACAGTGCTGCAGTCCATGTATCTTCACCTTGTATATTATACCACTGCCCTTCAAACATATTACAACATACCTCAAGGGAAACTGCCTATGTCAAATTTTGTGAGAAAAATATACACTTTCATTCAGGACATCGAATCTGACAAGATTCTGCATAACTAGTAACAACACTGTAGCCTGACAAATACACATCATCAGAGACAAAACCAGGTAACTCTGGCAAACAAAACCCATCCTGCAAGCCATTCTGTTTGCTGTAGTGTGAAAAGGCAGCATTTACACGCTTGTCAGTTTATGGGATGAGGGGGATTTGTTGGTTTAAGTTCCTCCAAATGTAGCTTAAATAGGTGAAATTCTCATGGGGAAGCTGCTGCTTTTAGTGGTAAAGCAGCTCTCACAGTTCATATATATATATTGCAGATGATCTGGCAATTGTATGCAAATGTTTCAGTCCACAAACTCTAATAGTGGACTTCACATAAAAACAGCCCCATAGATAAATCTAGAAGACTAAACTCAAACTTTCAAAACATTACTCAATACTAATGTAGGGGGTTATACGATTAGGCAAAATATACCCAGAAAAGCAATTTATATTTTGTATGATGGAAAAATCTCATATTAAGAACTTGCAATAGGTACACCCATAGAAGTTGTAGTAAACAGTAGGTTGAAAATTTTATTGGGATCAAAACCTTCTGCAGCATCTTTGACAACATTTTTGAATGGTTCTGTACACCAGCACAGAAATATTCTATGTACTAAGTAATTTTTTAAAATAGCCCTATACATAATTATAACATGAACAGGCAATTTTTGTTTCTAAAATTGGCCATGTGAAATCTAGCTAAAAGGCAGTCATACATTCCTGTGCCTGTGCACAAATAGAGTGTAAAAGCATTTCAGTTGGCCTTAGCTGCTTGATTAATTCTGAGGAACATACCTCCATTTTCGGGCTCTTGCAAAATTGTTAGATTGAGTCATCATAAAACAAACAAACCAACAAACCCAACAATAAAAGCAGCCCTGCACAGCAGTTTTCAGAGGCCACTGAAGGCACAGTAAATCCATTTTGAAGTAACTCATCGTGACCAACCATTTGTTTTTTCACACTGCAATAAAAATAAAAAATAGAATCCCTGAAAATCTTCCAGGAATTTTCAGAGACATGGGTGGAAGGCTTGTTAGGGTGGTCCCATGGAGAGTAAGCTCTGCCCTCCAGGGCTTCTGTCACTGAGGTAGTGCTGAGACCTGAGCTGGGACCTTCACAACCATCAGCTCACAGAACAACTAGTCAGCTAAATTTATCTATCCTCTCCTTCATTAGCACCTTCCTATGAACACTTAAAGTGAGAAGTGTCCTTTTCAGGGTCTGCTACAACAGCTTCTAGGATTATAGAACACTTTAGGAACAGCAGTGTGGCTTCCCCACGTATCATCCTTAGCTTTTGAGAGCAGAGTCTCAGAAGAGCACACATCAATACTGCTTGCAGAAATAATGTAGGTGAACAGTAAAGCCATTTATTACCATAACTTCAGCAAGATTTATACAAGCAGATATTGCCCCAAAATGTCTTTAAAAGTGGTTGATGGGATTCCATTTCTGAAATAAACTAGGAGAGATATCACCCAGTTAAATCTTTAACAGGACACTGGATGCATCTCAAATGAATATGTTAACTTCAGGGTGACAAACCTATATGCCATTATACTTATAGACTAACTTGCTTTACAACATGAAATAGGTATCATGGGCCAAACTAATTCTGGCACTCTCAAGTCAAAAGTGACTTCATCTCTGCAAATCCACCTGGATTCATCTCTCTTGGAAATCCATCTGGCAAGAATCCACTGTCTGAAAAATAACCCTAGAATTCTTGGGGTATGTTTCAGAGTTCCTAAATTCGATGCTAAATTTTAATGCTGGCTGATGAGCAGATTCTGCAACACATAAAAACAAAACACAAAAGACCAAATGTTTCCAAAGTAAAAAGTTTCATGAGAATGCCTGCTGTTCTGGGGCCTCAGACACCACTGCTCCATGCGAGTAGTTGGAGGTTTATGGTGTGGGAGTATTTTCAGTTCATGGCTTGCCCCAAAGGGGACAATTTCTCAGTGGTTCTGTCCTGTATCCTCACCTCATCCTGCCACAAAGAAAAAGCTCTCCAAAGTAGGGAGCCCCTACAGCATTCATACTAATAGCTGCGAGGGATTTTCTGGGTATAGGTGCCCAATGGGGGGACTCCCAAGAAGGAGAAAACTACTGCAGATCATGGAGATTCACATGGAAGACATGACCGCTTGCTGTTTCTGATCAATTACTTGTTGCCACTTCTCTCAAAATCAGGAATTTTCAGAAATCAGAAATCAAAAAATCAGAGGGTGCTTTCTTCCAAAGCAGGAATGTCAGCATTACTCAGTGGCAAATAGGTGTTTCTGACCCAAAGTATCCTGTGGAAGAGTTGGTTATTCTCCTTCTACAGGCACCACAGAAAAAGGGAAATGGCAGCCAGCATCACCAATGTCATGGGAACAGCCGGAGATACAAGCCCATGATATGATACTGAAAGGGAGGACATAAAGTATTATAAAGCAAATACTGCTATAATTATAAATATAAACACATAGGCGTTTTATGGAAAACATATTACTCCCCATATGTCACACATTTTAAATTACAGGTTTAACAGTGAAAAAGTTACCTCACAAAATATCAGCTCAAAATGTTTAATTACTCCCGTCGTGGTTTAAACCCAGACAGACAGCTCGTTCACTCACTCCCCTCCTTCTTGCCTTCCCCCTACTCCCAGAGGGACGGAGAGGAGAACTGAAAAGAATGCAACTCCCACGAGTTGAGATAAGAACAGTTAAGTAACTAAAGTATAACACAAATCACTACTGCTACCACCAATAAGACTAATGATAAGTGAAATAGCAAGGGAAGAGAATACAACACCTCAACACCCACCCGCTGAAAACTCACCCCGCCAGCCTGAGCCTGACCAAGCACCAACCGATACCTTGTCCAACCCCGCAGTCTCAGCCCTTCCAGGGAGCTCTGTTACATCCTGGGCATGACGTGCTGTGGTATGGAATACCTCTTTGTTCAGTTTGGGTCAGGTGTCCTGTCTCTGCTTCCTCCTGGCTTCCCCTCCTCCCTGGCAGAGCATGAGGCTCACAAAGTCCTTGGCCAGGCCAAACATTTTGAGTGTTATCAGCTCTGTACCCAGGTGGAAAGTCAAAACACAGCGCTGCACCAGCTACTAAGAAGGGGAAAAAATGACTGCTACTGCTGAACCCAGGACACTCCTTGTAAAAAAAAATAAGGTACAGAAGTAAAAGCTTTTCAGAAGGTCTATTGCATCAATATCTGAAATAGAATCCAGAACTATCATAAAATTACCCACAAAGCTAACACATACTCACTGTAAAATTGATAATGAGAAGACAATCTATCTAAACCCATACAAGAGCAGATTGTTCTTTCTTTGAGACATGTCAGTTGGATTCCAAGTGGCTACATTAAACATGATCTAATCTGTTATCTAAAATCCCTTAAATTTGTCAAGATATGTTAATTGACACTTGTGCAAGGATGAGCAGCAGTATTTATCCACTCTTTAAAGTACAAAGATCAGTTTACAGCACAAAGCCTGGCCTCACAAATGACTGTTCTGGAACAACCAAGAGGATGATAAACTGAAGTGTAAGGGTGTGGGAGCTTCCTGAGCTCAACTTTGCTATCCAGGAGCAAATGTAGGGAAGATCACAGTACTAGTGCTTAAAGAGAAATCCTCCAGGCATGAAGACTTAAACCTCTTTTTGATGATAAACTAACAGCAATATCTAAAAAAAAAAACCAAACAAAAAAAAAAACCCAACCAGACATGAAAGGAAGAAGTGGAATTTTTTGATTTAAGAAATAGAGTCTCTCATGAGAAAAAAATCAGGAGAAAGAGACCATCTCCACCCCAGCCCAGTCTGTGATTGCTGTTGCTATTCTCACTTGTCTACAGAAGGCAAATGCTTCTGCTAATGTGTATGAATGTCCATAATATATTTTAAGCAAGACTGTCAAAGTAAAGCAATGCCTCAGTTTTAACCCCGTTTGCCAGTTTGGACTTCTGTGTGTAAAAATTCTCTGTGACTACAAACTGAAGTGGGTGCTTTGCTATGGAGTGGTTTTAGATTTGGTTCCCTTTATGACTAAGAGAGGAGGAGTGTTAACAAGTATCTTAAAATAGCTAATTTATTATTTGTCATTCACAAATAGTCTAAAATAAGGATTTTTCAAGCAAGAAACAGTTCTGCCCTTGAGCTAACTGAAGCACTTCATTTTGTTCCAGCTTTCACAGTGCATGTCACTGCTTAAAAAAATGAAAAGGCAGGAAATGCGGTAAAATGTTGACACAATCCTAACTCAAGCATCACTAATACATCAGAGCCCAGTTTGTATCTCCCACTGGTTTATTCCATTTTAGTTTCCTGCAGAAAATAATTAAAAAAAGGGAAGATGGGATGCAGACAGGATGGCAGAAGCAAAGCACCAGCTCGTCTTTCCAGGAACTGACACATTTGTTTGGACATTTGAGCAAATCTAGCAGTTCACTACTGCCAGCAGGAGGCTATGTCACTTCTTCCTTCCTTGCTTCTCTGTTCTTCCAGCTGCATATTCCCATGCACAGGTCTGGTGTTTGCCTGCCCCTGCACTGAGCTGATGCATCCTGGCAAACTGTAGAAAAGGACATCAGTTGTGCGGGAGGGGGAAAAAAAAGGGAAGAAAAAACAATAGACGAGAAAGTTTTCTGCTAAATTAGCAAGCTGCAGATGGTCTGGGAGAGTGCCACGGGTGTCCCACTGCGGAGGCAGGACTGGCCCCTTCACCTCCAGGAGCATCCTGCTGCACCTGGGCCAGGCAGGCAGCACTGAGCCGGGGGCACAGTTTCCTCCCATCCCCATCATGCTTTGGCTGGGGCCCATGGGCTACTCTCACATTCACCCAGTTGGGAAAACATGGGGAGGGCCCTTAACACCCACTGCAGCCCCATTCCCCCCCACCAGTGCCCTGCAGCCTGGCTGCACTATGCCAGCAGTTATTCTTTCTGACTTTTAATGCCTTTTCCATCTACCCAAAGCAGCAGCAAGTGGTTAAAATACAAACATTTAGGAGGTAAATAAAACAAACCAGCAGGAAAATGCTTTCTTTTTTTTTTCCCACACTATGTGCAGGATTACTCCAGCACTCCCCTCAACTGCAGTTCATAATAAATGATGTCAAATATGGATATGGTTTGCTAGAGCCACATGTGAGCACTGCCCAAAGCTTGCATTTGTTTATTTCACTTCTTGACTCACTCTCCCTTACCTCCTAGGCAGCCAGCAGGAGAGATTGTCTCTTTAGGCCCAGAGCTTAAAACTAAGAGGTGATATATAAAGTTGAGCCATATTAAACCACTCCTGCAGTAAGTACAGCACCCAAGGGCACTCCATACAGATTCAGGTTACCGGGACCCCCCTTCCCCTCCCTGACCCGCTTTAGGTTAATAATTTGCCACTGGTCTATTTTGGTATTTTTGGCAGCTTCCCACTGGGCTCCAAAGCTGTGCCAGCACCCCGGGGAAGCTGGCAGCTCCCCATCCCAGATGCAACACAGGAATGTGGCTTGAAGAAACCAAACAACGCATGGTCCCCTCATGCTTCTAGCAAGAAAACTTATGTGAACAAAGTTAGACAAATATGAAAAGAAAAGCCAGACTCTATTTGATCGACCAGTCAGTTTGCACTGTTCACAGAAATGCATTTTATAGAGTCTGTTCTAATCTAACTTTACATGTCCCACCCCTCATCATATTTTCATCAAAGTTACCCTCAGTTTTGCCTTTTTTAATTTCGTGCAGTTACTCTGCTGCCATGACAGAAAACATGAAATTTCATCTCTATACCTGATTCTAAGTTATGCAACAGAAAGCTCAAAGTTAGAAAGAAAACTTAGTAACTTTTTTTTTTGAAATCACTTCTACATCACAGCAATTGATTTATTAAACAGTGTTGATGTAGTCTGTCTGAATATTAATCTTCAAAATCTTTTATGTTCCTGGTTTTAGAGATACCTATAATAAGCTGCTCCTAGATGAAAATAATGTACAATGAATTCGATATAGTAAGAAAAGAGAACAGAGGCAAAGCAAAACTAAACCTTACCCTGAGACTTTTGGCAGACAAACCCAAAATTTTTCTGACTTTTTTAAAGTACCATTTTCCTGTAAAATAAAAATTAGGGTTATTTGATTCCATCGTACACAGTGGAAGTTGTTCCTCAACATTTGCATTGTTATAGCACTGTCTCTACAATCAATATAGAACCTTATATTAAAAAAGACATTGTGTAAAAACAATGCATAATTATTATACTAAATTTGGAAAAATAAATATCCGAAGGTCATTATTACAAATATTTAGGTAGAACAACGAACACTCCCATAAATACAATTTGAAACAATAAGCTCATAATAAAAAAGTCAAAAGCTTTCACTGAATAAACTTAAATGCTAAGACCAGTATGGACATGGTGTAAAACAATAAATTAAAATGCAAAATTCATAATCTTATTCCTTATGAATAAGAAAATTCATAACCTTATTATATGCTCAGACCCAGCATACGATACTAACCATATAATTTGAACTTTGGTGCTTAAAAGCAATTGCAAGAGGATGTAATTACAACCCCAATTTAAGTAAATAACTGTCTTGATAGTGCCTTTTTTACTACCTGCAGTTATGCCCATAAATCTGTGCCCGCAGCTTTTTTGAAGTTGAAAAAATATAGAGAAGACTAAGTTGCTGGAACAAGTTAGGCCTTCTCTTTGCAGCAGTCATCATTTTTATGGATAAAACAACTTCCCACTGTCCTTAAACCAACTGGAAATATACTCACATGCACTACTTCAACTGGAAACCAGTTGGAGTACATTGGAGGATTTTCATTCACCTATTTTTCATAATTGTCACTCTGGAAACCATCCAAACACTAATTTTCTGTCCAAATAGATTCACTATTATGAAAGCTGGAAAATGAAACAGGAATAAAAAAGAATTAATTGGTAGCCATTTATGGATAGATGAAGTCTCTTCCAGAACACTAAAGCACTGAAAAATTTAATTACTAAACAATGACATTGCATAGATACTAGAAAGTAAGAACTTGAGCAGCATTTCAGGGTCATTTAACTATAAATTCAGTTAACTGAAGTTAATTTCAGTTGGGTTAGGATCTAGTGCATTACCTAAGAAGTCTTCCAGAAATGTTCACAGCAGCTGGAACAACTTACGTTACTAGTTTCGAGTATCATCCCATCGGTAAAACTTTTCTCAGTTTTAGTTGAAAGTAAGATTTTTCAATTACAGATATCCAGTGAGGTTCCTCCCACCTCTAAATAAGTGGTTTTACAAATGTATGCAATTCAACCCCAGATTTGTATGAATAAGGTTTTTAAATATTTCCGAAAGTGCTGGCATTTATTTCTGGCAGTTCCAGCCTAGCGTTATGCTTATGTGCTGTATTACAGATCAGGTTTTAAGCACTATTAAGGGAAAAAAAAAAAAAAAAAAAAGAGGTTGCTTTTATAACAGTGTGATGGTACATTCGTAACATAGATTTTTTGCATAGCAAATTTTTAAATGTGTATTCCATTATGTTTTTATATTTCTAATGCATGATAGTAAGCACAAAAGAAATTATACTTACTCCTCAAAATGTACCTGTCAGATAGCTCAGTGAATATTTGAACCTTTACATCTTGGGAATCTGGGAAAGAGAAACACTAATTTGTTTAAAGCAGTGGAACCATAAGTAGGATCTGAATAACATTTTTTCCTAAATTGCTATCCAAGATGAAACTTTATCATCCTAACGAAGATGAAATTTTATTTATTTAGCAATATTTTCAGTACTCTACCTTGTTGCAATTTATCTTTGAGGGAGCAACTGACCTATGATAGGTACTGCAGAATGCTTGTGCAATGTCCTGGTTTTTAGAAGCTCAGGGGCCTTCAGAATTTGTATCCAAAAGCTGTAAAAAAAAAAAAGAAAAAAAAAAGGGCTTGTTTTGTTTTTTTGCCAGTTTAAAAACTATTTATCAATCAGCAAGAGTGATCACCAAAACATTTCACTGAATATGCAGTCCTGCAATGGACCTCTCCAACACGGTTGGTATCAGTTTTCAGCTGCGACCAGGCTTGGATTCAAATCAGCTCTTTAAATGCAAACACAGTCTGGGTTAAATTTATCCTTGTGGTCACTGCAGTTCAGTACTGAGATAAATTTGGCCACATCCACACATGTTGCTATTAAGGAATGCATGTATTTAAAAGAAGCCTGATGAAATAATTGCCTTTTAATGTTCAGTTGCAAATAGACTTTGGTTTATAATTATTTTCGATGAACCTTATTTGAAACAACATCTCTCCAAGGATGGCATCAGTTAAGGATCCATTTAGTACAAGAAGGGTCAGATATCTGTTTTGAGAGGATAAAAGACTCATGGAATCGTCATAAGAGGAAAAGAGAGGAGGAAGCATTTTTTTTTTACACCAAAGGCACAAATACACTTAAATAGCTTTCACATATCTGAGCATTCATTTCCTTGAGGTAAAATTTTTGACACCTTATTCTGTATGCAAAGCTACTCAATTTGCTGTAAATCTCTGTATCACTGTGTCAGTAGTTAAAAACCTAAGGTCTTTGCTTTTAAAAGGAAGAAAATCTTCAAATATAGAATAATCCTTAAGAAGTCCAATTTCTGCCATAAATATGGAAAGCACTTTGAAAAATCAAACAGCAGAAAAAAAATGTTTTGCTTTGAATCCAAAGCGAAGCCGGCCTTTGGGGCATACTCCTTGATGATTCTGGTCTTTTGGGATCACTTTCTCTATTTTCCATGCAAATTTACTTTTACAAATACAACAAAGAGAGACGGTACAGTTTGCATTACCCCAGAGTCCTCTGTAAAAAGAAAAATCACAGATCAATATTGGCTTAAGAATTGGAAAGGGCTTTTTTCTTAGATAGCTTAGACATTGTCAATATGGGTATCCTTTAGTGGTTGAGTAAGATGACATTCTACGTCAAATACTTTTGGACATATCACATTATTGTGGATTTGATGGTCTACAGGGCTCATACTTTTATCCCCAGTTTGATTTTATTGTGTTAAACCAATTCCTCTACACTGAGTCAGATAACACACACCTCCTCCAGATAAAATAGTTTCACTTCCTTACATTGAAGATTTTTGGCAAGATCCAGGTACTGACATAAAACGCTGACCTGCTAAGGAGGAAAATACATTTTTCAGTGCACTCAACAAGCTATTGACCAGCTCCCATCTACTGTTCAGCTGAGGGGCGAGGGTGGGAGTCTCTTCCTTTAATACTAACTCTAGTAACACCAAACTCAAGAATTTGAAAGTCATGAATAAAACCCCCAAGATTATGTGCAGAAAAAGAGTTTTACTTTTTTTTTTTTCCATTTTGGTTTTCAAGGCTGAGATCACAAGTGTGCAGCTGGATTAGTTTTCTTCGGCTCTTCTCACAAACAAAAAGCTGGTTATTTTTTATTTTCATGGAACCTGATATGTTTACTTTGTCATAGGACTTGCAGATCTTCAGAGACTGTGAGATGACAGAAATCACTGGAACCACCAGCACTGTATTTATTACTATTATTGTTGCTATTATTACTATTACCATAGTAAAATATAGAGCTATGTGATGATGTAAATGTTAGCACCAAAACCACAGTACCCCAAAATCCCTCAGCAGATTGGCTATGGGATCAGAAATAAGCTAGAAACCTGAGTATTTGAAGTTGTATGCTTGTAGAAAAAAACAGTTTATAAATGTAGGAAATATTGTTGCTCAGTCCATCTGGCTCATTTGGTTATGAGAAAACTAACTGTGAAAACCAGCAACGCATTCACATTTTTGCTGTGCCACATAACAGATTCTTAAGTAAAACTAAAGTATCAGTATCACTGGAATCTGTATTTTGACATTAGAGAGCTGGAACTATTAATATACTTTTAAGTCCTACAAACTAGTCTCTGAGCATATTAATGATATTTCTCTATTCTTAATCATAAAAACAGTTATGCAAATTATAACCATGTAACAGGACTTGAATATGGATTGCACTTCTTGAGAGCAATTAATATATAACCTCTTTGGCCAACAACAGAATCAAGTCTTAACTCTGGCAGCAAAAGGAAATATAAAATAAACCTGTTTGTGATGAAATGAAGCCACATCTTTTCCCTGTTTTCTGCTGATCTCTTTCTCTCCCTTCATTCCAGTTCTGGCATGTTCCTGGTGATTCATCTCTCCAGCTGCGAAGAAATGTTAAGAGTGTAGTTACACTTTCTCCTATCCTTACCTAAAAATATACCCTCTGTTATAAGCATTTGTAAGGAGACAGAAGATAAATTACTTTATTACTTAAGTGCTAAAAAATGACAACCAACAACAGGGTTGGTACTTGTGCCTTTGGTTTGTCTATTTTATAACCCTTCCAGAAGAAATACTGTAACATGGAGATAAATTAAGTGTAACACATTCTGAATTATATTTACCTACCTTACTGAGGTTTTCAGCATGCAATCCGATCCACTATTTGATAGCAAAAAAAATAAAAATGATTTGCCATATGTTTAGCTGTTGTTGCCCTCTTATCAAAGAATTAACAAACTCCTAAAATCAGACTCTCTATTCAGACAAATAGCATCTCCATTCAATTTCAGTGGGAGAACAGATTCCAATGGGAGTATACAGGGCCTCTGTTATTTGTGTCACTTCAGTAATGTTATTCATATAAGTAGAGCATGATTTAGACTCATTTCCACTGGATTGCTGATAAATCTTGTGTAACCTAGGAATTTACAATTTTAGGAATTTGCAGCCTATCTGGTTTGAAAAGGACTGTAGTCTTAGACCAGAATTTGGTTTTTCACCAACTCCTAAAAAAAGACAATAGCAAATATTTCCTTTTAGCACTAATATATTGCTCATGGTTAATGTTTCCAAAATGTTTCCTATGAACATTAACTAATTTTGTATATCTCATGCAAGAGATTCCTAGAGATCCTTTCCAAACTGCTTGTTATTCTCATGAAAGTCTCTAGACCTCCACTCCTAAAAGGCAAAGTATTATGGAAAAGTCACAGAAATAATGTAATTCAAACACCCACTTATTATTGCTGTGCTGACTTGATTCTGCCTTAAACTATGAACGGGCTTTACTTTCAGGGTTAGCCACACAATAATAACAGTTTTGAGGTCTTGGGAAAGAGCCAACAACAACAACAAAGTTCTGAATGTGTAGGATACCAGAAAAGCCACCCTGAAAAGCATTTCTTTTTTTTCCTAGAAAAAAAAATGAAGTTGCTGTGGCAACCCACACTGTCCTCAGAGTTACACTTAGGATTTCAACAGGCTACAGCTTATACAGCAATATCAAAGGAAGAAATCAAACATTTCTGACAAAGAAGAAACTAAGGAAGGAATGTTGTCTGATTTTGTATTGCCTGACCCCAGCATTTAGTTTTCTAATCACAGCACTCAGCCTACACATAACAGTTTTAGAAGAAATAGTGAAAAATGTGATTTCAAATTCCATGCTAGAATTTTTTGACCAAGTTTTATAATGACAAGTGCAAAGTCTATTCAGACTGCTGAGCATTATTTTACTGCTTGCCATCCTTAGTCTTGCTTCCACAGGAAACCTGTTACAATCACTTAGGGACACACCTGGCTATACTGGGAATGCTTAGCCAAAGGCAGCAGGCTTAAAAACAGCTACATCTGTTATAGTCCGAGACAAAACTTCATGGAGGTTAACCTGATTTTCAATGCCAAGGGAGTAAACTTGGCTTTTTCATTTCAAGGGATTAAACCTGGTTGGACTGACATGGAAGAGGTATAATGATAATATGACCTTGATAATATGACCATGACAGCTCTAGAAAAGGAGCAAGAGTCAGTGGTGTGCAGGGGTAACAACTCATTTCAAGTCTTATTCTTTGGGACCCACTTGGCCAGCTTCACCCACATGTCACAAGACAAATATGCCACAACCAACAGCAGAACCAGATTTAACATACCGATTTTGGGAGAAAATAAAACCAAATAAAACCAAAAATAAAACCAAAAAAACACCAGACCGACAAGCAGTAGATCTGCTTGTAGATCTATCCTCGTGGCCCTTCTCTGGACTTGTTCCAACACTTCCATGTCCTTTTTATGTTGAGGACACCAGAACTGCACACAATACTCCAGGTGAGGTCCCACGAGAGCAGAGTAGAGGGGCAGGATCACCTCCTTCGACCTGCTGGTCACGTTCCTTTTGATGCAGCCCAGGATATGGTTGGCTTTCTGGGCTGCAGGCACACGCTGCCGGCTCATATTCATTTTCTCATCAACCAGCACCCCCAAGTCTTCTCCGCAGCGCTGCTCTGAATCTCTTCTCTGCCCAACCTGTAGCTGTGCCTGGGATTGCTCCGACCCAGGTGTAGGACCTTGCACTTGTCATGGTTAAACTTCATGAGGTTGGCATCAGCCCACCTCACAAGCATGTCCAGGTCCCTCTGGATGGCATTCCTTCCCTCCAGCGTATCAACCAAACCACACAGCTTGGTGTCATCAGCAGACTTGCTGAAGGCGCACTCAATCCCACTGTCCATGTCAGTGACGAAGATGTTGAACAAGACCGGTCCCAACACCGATCCCTGAGGGACACCACTCGTTACTGGTCTCCAGCCGGACATTGAGCCATTGACCACAACTCTTTATGTGTGGCCATCCAGCCAGTTCTTTCTCCACCGAGTGGTCCATCCATCAAATTGATGTCTCTCCAATTTAGAGACAAGGATGTCGTGTGGGACAGTGTCGAACTCTTTACACAAGTCCAGGTAGATGACATCAACTGCTCTGCCCCTGTCCATCAGTTCCGTAGCCCCATCATAGAAGGCCACCAAATTGGTCAGGCAGGATTTCCCCTTAGTGAAGCCATGCTGGCTGTCACCAAGCACCTTGTTGATTTTCATGTGCCTTAGCATGCCTTCCAGGAGAATCTGCTCCAAGATTTTGCCAGGCACAGAGGTGAGACTGACTGGTCTGTAGTTCCCTGGGTCATCCATTTTCCCCTTCTTGAAAATGGGGGTTATATTTCCCTTTTTCCAGTTGTCAGGAACTTCACCTGACTGCAAAGTCAGGTGAAGTTACAATGTTATAATATGAAGTTCCTAGTTATAACATTTCAAGATGTGAAAACCCAAAATGTTTTCATACCAGCTATGTACCAATCTGGATTCTTTGTTCTAACATCTGCAAAATTACATAAATAAATTAGAACATCACTGACTAAGAACAAAAAGAGATGTTTAATTGAAACTGCCTTCTCCATATGGTAAGGATTCAATCAAAATCATAAAGAATATTGCTATACATGTTCAGGGCAAAAAAAGGAGTTTAACGCCCTATACATTAAAAAAGCCCCATGCAAGTAAAAACTTCATCAAGATCCAAAACATTGTGTCCTGGGTTCAGCAGTAGCAGTCATTTTTATCCTTCTTGGTAGCTGGTGCAGCACTGTGTTTTGACTTTTGGCTTGGGAACAGAGCTGATAGAGATGTTTTGGTTTGTCCAAGGACTTTGTGAGCCTCATGCTCTGCCAGGGAGGAGGGGAAGCCGGGAGGAAGCAGAGACAGGACACCTGACCCAAACTGACCAAAGAGGTATTCCATACCACAGCACGTCATGCCCAGGATGTAACTGGGAGTTAGCCGGAAGGGCTGGGACTGCGGGGTTGGAGGAGGTATGGGTCGGTGCTTGGTCGGGCTGGGGGGGTGAGTTATCGGTTGGCTGGTGGTGAGATGTTGTATTCTCTTCCCTTGTTATTTCCTTTATCATTGTTATTATTGGTGGTAGCAGTAGTGATGTGTGTTATACCTTAGTTACTAAACTGTTCTTATCTCAACCTGTGGGAGTTGCATTCTTTTTGATTCTCCTCTCCATCCCTCCAGGAGTAGGGGGAGGGAAAGAAGGGGGGGAGTGAGTGAACGAGTTGCCTGACTGGGTTTAAACCACAACACATTGTCACTACAGGCTATATAATACACTCACATACTGACAGGGTGAAGAATTTAGGGGGCACCCGAGCTGGCCTGCCCCTCAGCTTGCTCTAACCCAAACTCTACCCTTTGCTTGTAAATCTGGTATCAACAAAAGCTTTCAAGTTGTGGTAAACCCAAATTTATATTCACATTGAACAATTCAACTTAATAATAACCAAGAGATCAGAAGCCCTAATCAGTCAGAAAATCTCACTGTAACCTCAGACTCCAAGTCTAACCCTAGTCCTAACCCAATTCATGTTAAAGTCTGTTCAATTTCTGGGTTCCAAGAGGTTCATTTTGCTCAGTTTAGGACAAGCGTTAGAAAGCCGCCTTTCCTAGACTTGTATCATCCACAAACAGTAATTCTTGAGCACTTCAGGAGATGCTGGGGTCAGATGTAGGATTAGACTGCAGACTTCAGACACTTGTCCAGGTATCATTTTGTGGATGCTTTTCAGATTAATTACAAGAAGGGGGTCCTTATGCAGTGGTCTGGAGGTGGGTCTTGGGACTATTTCTGATTGATTTGCGGACAGGAAACACACAAAGGGGCAGCAATGTTTGCGAAACCTGAGCTTCCGTCAAACCAGTTAAGTCTACAGATGCACAGGCTGCAGATTAGGACTTCATCTTGCTTTGCCTAATAAAGCTGACATAGTAGGATTATGAGCTACTCCAGATGGTTTGACACATTGCGGGACAGTTGCTGTGTCCAGGGTTCTGATTAAATTTTCTGTTAACCTCTACAGTCTTCTCAAGTGAGAGTCATTTCTTCTCACAACAGATCACGTCAGAAGGAGCCAGACAAACAGAATTTCAAAGGTGGAACAGAAACCAGCCCTGAGGTTACTGGCCCAAAGCAAAGTCAAAGGATTACTGAAGAGCTATGCAGCAGGCTAGGGATGAATTTGACTTCAGCTAGCGACTCTGAGAGTAGTTTTAAAGCAGAAAATAGTAAGGTGCTTAGTGGGCCTATCTACCCCCAAACAATCTTACCCGATGGAAGAAGTGTCCAGCAAAGAGCACAGCAGGGCAAATACTGGGCATGCAGGAGGAATAAGGATATTCCCAGGCAGTACAGACCTATAGCTTCAACGGCCACTAGATGTTGCCACTGTTCTTCTGCGAGTTACCTGGGTTTCTGGCGTTCGCCTGATGTGGTATGAAATCTGGAGGGTTTAAAATCTTTGGAAATCCTTTCTTCCTAATCTGTCCTCTTTTAGCGTTCACATGTGGTGTTGCTCAGTCCCACATACAAGAGGAGAAGGGCAGCCTCATACCAGGGAGTTTTGGCACTGAGAGGCTTGGAGGCAATTCCTGGGTGGTAGCATGTAAGGCACGCAGGCAAGTAGGCTGCCCAGCAAGTAAAACACAATGGGCACGTCAGCTATTTAAACACACACTCCAGCTCTGTGATAAAATCCTACATAGTTGTCCCAGTCCTGTATCTCCTTATGCATTAAGCACACTTAGTGACAGGATGGTACCTGGCATTAACAGTTTCTCTTATTGTAGTTCTACAAACTACTAACTAGTCTTCCTGAGGTTTGTGTGAAAATGGAAGAGAGTAAGCATATATGAAATATTTCAAAATAACAAATATTATATATAATGTATTTTTAAAAAGAGGGAAAAAAAAAAAAGCCAGATCAAGAGTTCTGCAACTCTTTTTTGGAACAGACTGAATCATGTTGAAATCTGCCTGAATGCTGAATACTTTCAGCACTGATCAGTCCTGGGCTCCAGGGGAAAAGGGAGTAGGGTCAAAGATTTAATTCTTTATCTTTGGAAAGTTAAAATGGTGAATGCTAATTGCCAGACTGACACTGTTTGCCAGACTTCTACATGATCAAAACTGCTCAGGAGACAGCCCTGCTGATACGCCTATCTTAGCTGCTGCTTGTGTCCATCTAGCACCATGTAACAAGACGGATTTCATCTGCTGCTCTTGAAATACTTCTGCAGACATCAACAGTTTGAATTTAGACCATTTGAAATTAGATGCACAAGAATGCAGTGCAAAAATAAATTAATTTTTAAGGTACAAATCAGAGAAAGCCAAGCTTTATGCAGGCTGGTCCTAAGGCCACTTAAACAAAGGATATATTTGGAAAGAGGGAGGTGATCACAGTGAGATACAGACAGTTCCTTGTATGATTAAAAACTTCTCTCTGAAGTGCTGTAATGTTGTACAGCTAGCAGGTGTACTACCCAGTTGACCTAAGTCGAAACTGCATGTATTCAAGCAAAAATTGAATTTAGCCACCAAACCTAACCACACTCCAGGTAAATCCCAAAATCCCAACCTTACCCCCAAAAAATAAAACAAAACCCCAAACAAACTTAAACCAGCTCATCAAGCAGGGCTTCTCATGATTTGAAACCTTGAGCATTGAGTAGCATGAGTGGGTAAGATAACACTAAGAGCCCTACATAACTTCTTATCTATGCTGAGTTCATGGCATTACTTATAGCACAGATACCAGATTGGTACAATATTCTCAGCGGAGAAAGCCACTGAGATCCTGAACCTGACACCATGGCTGGGCAAAAGTGAAGTCTCTGCTAAACCCACCACTGTCATTTCTAGACTACTGAACTAAGCGTTTCTCAGAAGAAACTGTTTATAAAGAGGAGAAAGAAGTAGGATTTAGTTCTCAGCCTGGTGACTGAAAATGGAGACATAGAACTTTATTTGAAGGTAGAGTAGGAGGTGAGAATCTCACTTAAAGATGTGCCTTGGTGCATAAGTGTCAGACACAAGATGGCTTTATCCAAATCACCCTATAAATCCTGGTGCCATGCTAATAAGATAAACCCTCTCTGACATTTCTTCTGGGTTCAAGGCTCACACTCTGTGCAGTACCCTCCAGGTCTTGTGTCTAATCTGGTGTATGTATATATGCACATGCAGATGAAAATAACCTCTGAAGGATCAGGGTTGCAACAACAGAACAGCACTTCACATAGCACTGAATGAGGGCTGTGGATCATCTTTCAAAGAGGAGGTGGCCAAGTTCTCCTCAGAATTTCAGCCTGATGACAGTCACAGCTGCAACAGCACTGAAAAACCTAGATAAGATACTGGTCTGAACCTTGGATTTTGCTACTGGAGTTTCTGAGGAGTATGATGATTGGCCTAGGAACCTAAATACTACCGACCAGCATCTAGGGAATAAAGGAATCTCCTCATTTGATCATTTCAGCTTCCAGATCCTATTTCTGAATCCTGGATAAATATCCTGCCCTGAACTCTCTACTCCTATCTTACTTTCCTTCATATGCCTGCTCAACCTGTCACATTTCCAGTTCCTCACTACCCTGCCTACTTCTCACACAAGACCTTGATGCGGCATACAAGGTTCTTGGCCTTGCCCCGAATCCTGTTTGCCTCATGCCCTTTGAGCTGGGTATCCACAGAGGAGCCTTGTCTCCTGGGGTTAGATCACCCTGAATTGCGCTCAGTGCTTTGATTCTGGTCCTAATTGCTGGGCATGCCTGCTCATATCCTGACTGAGATCCTCACACATCATGCTAGACTGCCTTCTCTTCATCTTCTTGCTATTGCTTTTCCCTGTTCTCCCTTCAGTTTTATAAGAGGGCTCACATCTCTTACCTGCTCACCTCCAATTACCAGCTAGCCATGGGGCACTCTCCTCCCTTCCAGCCTGCTTTGCTCCTCTCTCCCTGCAGCTGGCTGCTGGAGAAGCTGTGAACCTCTGGGGTGGGAGGAAGCAGAGGAGCAGCAGGTGATGCACAGGACATGGAAAAGCAACCACATTCTTCCCTGCTAAATCATCTTTTGGAGATGTACCATGCCTGAAAATCCAGCAGGTTTCCATATGATATCCATCTGGTGCAAACTGTTTCCCTAAAGTGTAATTTGTGCTCAGGAAGGCACAGAAAATGACTGCAGAAGTAATACAGCAGCTATAAATTAGTCTGAAAACGGCTGCTGGAAGCAAGTAGAGAGGAGGTAGATTTTAGCATCGTTCCAGTGACTGCAAGAAGGTGACATATAGTGGTAGCTGCATTTCGCAGTTTCTTACCCCATAATATAAATCACATTAATTTCTTAGAATATTATCAAAATGGAGCTAGAAACTTCTTAAAATTAAGAGGTAACTATAGCACATGCCTTTGGGAAAGCAGAAGCAAAGGTCTGCTGATTTTAAGCAATATAGCAGCACACTGTGTCTATTTTCACTATGGTCTGTCTCCCCCCCCCGCCCCCCCCCATGCCATCACCTTGAGACAGGCAGTAGTGCCCTTAATAAAGAGGGTTTAGAATGCAGGGAACTTGAATAGGAGAGCAGCACCTCAAAGAGCACAACTGGACATTACAGAAGGCACTGAGCACTTTGGGCAAATGCCCACTATGGTGCTAAACCAATCCAAGAGCAATGCCTATGGTGAAAAAATACTCCTCTTTGTAAAACTTTCAATGAGCAGAGGTTGGCCAACACCAAGACACCTGGTCCTCTATGGCCAGTGTGAAGTGTGGACAGATGGTCAGTTGTGATAGTAGTTTTTGGCACCATCCAGCTTTGTACAGATGTAAATGCCTTCACAGGCCTGAAGCTTGGTGATGGTGCCCAGAGCAGGCAGCAGGTGTTTACAGTTCAATTGTGCTATCCCCTGTACCTGTTTTACGTTGGCACAGCCCCAGGGAGTTATCCCAAATCACGAGAATGAGACTGTGGGGGCAGGATCTGGGCCAGACATCACTCTGGTATATCTGCTGGGCTTAGTGAAGGATTCAGCATTCTTGGATACTGAAAATCTTACATCATGGTGGTACAGTAGATACAGATCAGGAAGAGTAAGAGCTGTGCTACAGGCACAACATGAAGTACACATAGTGGTTATATGGGTGGAAGCAAAAACAAAATGGGAAACTTTAGGCCAGAAATTTGCCATACATGCCCTGACTCCAAGTAGCATATTACTGGGCTGATTATTGCCTATAAGTATGATACAGCACTCTTAGAAAGGATCTTCCAAACAGTTACTGGGGCTAATGCTTTGTGCTTTAAACCCACTTATCACACTGGGAATTTTTATATGCATTCAGTGCAGATGAAGCAAACTGCAAAACCTAGGAAAAAGGGAAAGTGACTGTCTCCTGATACTCCTTTACATAAACTTTGCTTGAAATTCTCTGGGCAAATGAATTTCCACTACTATCACAGTAGTTTTTGGTTGGACTCTAGGTTTATTCAGAGGGGAGCTTGATTTTGCTTCAATGTGAAATAGGAAGATAATGTTTTCTGTCAGATTTCCACTTTACATAGAAGCTGAAAGGTGTGTGCAGTAATCCAGTAAAATGAGATACATTCCCTTCATCCTAGAACCATAACCCAACTGGGTACAGAGGTAAAAAGAGGAGGAACTGCCTCATAATGAACAGGAGCTAAAGAAGGGGGGTCATTTGGATGTACACCAAATGCAGGCAATCAACTCTATTTCTGTCATGAATCAGGAAATTAAGTTTCCTTGCTATTTGATTCTGCTGGGTTTCCCATACACATTACACAGCTACTTCCTAGAACTCTGTAAACAGCTTTCTAGACTTTATGGTTTTCCTACTACTTCTTTCTTCATGCATACAATTATTTTTCTTCTGTGGTTTCTGATGTATTATCTGAATACCTGGCATTTTAGAAATTATGCATGAGAGTCTTGAAGACACTGGGTTGAATGATGGAGTGAGGAGGGGGCAGAAGGAGGGTATAAAACAGAGCAAGATCCAAGAGAGCTTTTGAGGCATTAATGACAAGCAGGATATTGAAAAGGTCGTACAAATTGCATTAAAATGCAATGGAAGGAGGAAGGGAACCAATATGTTGATTTAAAAAGAGAGGAGGAAGAAGTGAGGCACCTATGGAGTGACTGGTCTTTCTGGGAACTGAGGCAGTGACTGCAGGAGACCTGAGGAGCAACCTTTTCCTTTCCCCTCTCCTCAGGGATGGCAGTAGTGCTATCTGAGACCCTTCCCTCTGGGCCATTGGCTATTAATAACCACAGGATGCCTGTGCAAGCAGCCTTCAGGAGTCAAATTCACAGCACTTCGCATCAACACTTTGTGCTGGGCAGAGTTTGCCTGTACCCAGGCACCCTGGGTGAGCAGGGCTGCTGGACAAGCCTCCCAGCAGCACCCAGAAACAGGCTAGGAGGAAGCAGCCCACTGCCAAGCTCTGGGGCAGGCACCTGAGCTGGCCTGAACCTGGCACTGCAAACCTGAGGTGAGTTGACCGGGTAGCAAAATAGTTTGGAGCAGGTGTTGGAGAGGGTAAAGACTGGTCTGGCGTGCAGCAAAACCAAGCAAATCACTGCTGCAAAGACTGATGCAGAGGAATTGAATCAACGGTAGAGCTCAGGGGAGAAAAAGATAACTGTGGCCCTGGCTTTATGTGTGGGATACTGGGGAGGATGGGGACTGAAGCTCCAGCAGTCTATTTGTGGTGGGGTGGCTGAAAGAGCAGCAGTCCTAGTGTAACTCTGGAACCTGTCCATAATGAAAGACTCCTGCCCCTTTTCGTATGCTAGATTAATTGCATGCAGCAGGTTTTCCGCTCCCCAGTCCTGCTGTATTAGTGAAGGAGAACAGCAGAATGGGATAGGCTTGCTCTCGCTGATCCTTGGGAATGAGTGTTCTAGAGGAGCACAGCTCCCCACCAGGGCCAGCATTTTCTGCCTTGCCCCAGGGAGTCCACATTTGAGGAATACAGATTATTTCCCTGTTTTGCCAGTTTTATGACCCATGAGATGGGCCACAACCTCCCACGCCCCTGCCTCCTGGCAGCATTGCCCCTTTCCTGTCAAGCAGGGCCTGCTTCTTTTACATAACCAAGCAGATGTCCGACTGCTCGAGGAGAATGTGCAGCACGTGCTTTATGGCTGCACCTGCTCACGCTTGCTTTGGGAATACACCAGGATGGGCTCTTTTATGATGTGAGCTACATAGACAGCATCTTGTTGTAAAAGAAAAAAACAAACAAAAAAATCTTGGAAATCTGAAAGAAAAACTAATTCAAGAGAGTATTTGTCAATGTGATTGGAGCTGATTTGCTGTGCCTGGGCTCCTTTTAGCAGTTATCATCACCTCATCACATGAAAATCATGTTGCAAAAGGAGCAATGGTGGAATGAAACTGCAAAATACACAGGAGATAAAAATGTCTTGAGCACAACAACAAGGACCATGTACAAACTCATACAGCCAACTGTTTGCTTGCTAGTTTTAAAATACAGTTCATAGTTCAGTGTCTTCAGTTCTGAAATTTTAAGAAATTAAAGTGCGAAGAATCACAAGGACAGAGATGGTTAATTAGTGCTATTGCTGAAACCAAAGGGTTTTGGTCATTTTCATTTGTACTGTATTAGGTGAGGATCTGTCCCCCTACATGTTGTTGTTTGGGCATAGACAGTGTTGAAGGGAAGGCAAGACATTTGCCCTACTTACATTATGTGTGATAATCCCCCAAGAAGGACTCTGAGAAGCTTACTCAAGTGGAATTGCTGAGATTTCTCCTTGTTTTCCCTGACTTTGGAGTACAGGACTCTCATTCTATCTGGGGACAGAAATGGGGAACACTGCACCAGAAGAAATCTCCCTTTTCCCTCCTTTCCCCTTCCAAATGATACGTGTATGATCAATACATAAGATATAGGTGCAAGTGACTTCAAATGAATCAGGCGAACTTTTCCTTTATCAAGTTTGCCTGTGCCTTCCTCCGCCAGCCCTTGCATAACAAAACAGTAGCAGTCATAGCAGACAGAATTACTTAGGGGTTTGGTTGTTTTGTTTTCAGAACTTTCAGTCTAGTGGTTTTATGAATACCTATTCTAATTCTAATAGTACCATCTAAATATCAAAACAAACTTGCACATTATTCAAAATGCTCCCAAATAACTCATGGCCAGATTCAAAATCCTTATACTAAAATATTGATTACCATGTAATGATAACTGCATGGTATTATAATATGGTATGATAAAGCAAATTTTCAAACTGACATTCTATTAGTGCAGGACAGGATGACAACAGACTACCACTGTGGCACACGTGGGCCTGGGAGACTGCCATGTTGCAAATAAAATGCCTACTTTGGATTACAATGCTATATGACACAAGCAATGCTTGTGCTGTGATCTGCTGCTATGTTTTATGTCATAACGCTAAGCCCTCAGAGAACACCACAATTGGCTGCTAATATTCTGTATAGGATGATATCACTCACTAGCTCCTTCATGTGGAAGGGTTAGAAAAGAACCTGTGTATAAAAGGAAGGCTGTGTATCTCGTAACTGTAGGATGGCAACTACAAGAGAGGCAAGAAATAAGTTTCCAGTGTTTCATTCTCCATTTCCTTGTGTGTTTAGAGCAAAGCAGAGAACCCTTTGTGGGAATGCCCCTTGCAGGGACTCCTGCTCCTCTTAAAAGGAAAAAGTCCACTAAACTCATTGGGAAGCTGACACAAGAAGGTAAGATATGCAAAACTGCACACATGAGAATTGTTTGGCTTTCAACCTGAATTTCAGCCTTTAAAATTTCACTGTCTGACTGAGCTCCCAGAGCAAGACATGCAGTGAACATATCAGGAGGCAGAGCCACAAATATTACTGAAGCTCAGCCTTCAGTCACATCACATTTTCAAATTTACTGTTCAAAAGCATTGTACACACACTCAGGTTAAATGTTGACCTACATCACACTTTGTAAACTCATATTCTCCTGCAGCATTAATTTGGAGGTACACCAGTCTAAATGGAAAGGGAACATCATCTTCTATGTGAATCAATATTGCAGAGCCTAGTTATGTTCTATGTCATTATCTCTCTTATAAGCTTTGTCTCTAATTTATTTTTCCTCTGTGTGATAGAACTCTTCCAGAACTCATCAGTTGAAAAAGTCTGTTTCTTACAGGGGGTAATACAGTAGGAAGAATATAACTTGGGACACTTTTCTTTCTACAGAATACCTGTGTATCAGGTAGGGTGACTTTTAATTAACTGTGATATCCTTATCTTCTCTTTACTTTTGACAGCATGGAGAAGATTTTTAGGGGTTTTGAAAAGCATCATTTCAAAGTTGCTCCTTTCTGCAGCCCTCAAAAAGGGCTGTAGAGACTTCTTTGCTAGGGTACAGGAATATATTTTTCTGTTTAGCCCTAATCCTTTATTCAGGTAAACAAATAAGTGAAAATCCAATTTTCAGTTAAAAGCCATTTCCTCATGTGCTATGAAATAGTGCTATATAAAATCGGCTTCCTAAAAAAAATATTTCTTCAGAGAATGTTTAATGAAATAAATGGGCTTATACCAATATTGTACTAGTTTAAGGATGGAGATTCATTCTGTGTTGTAAATGAAATGCAACAGTGCGTAAGTGGTCTTAACCTTGGTCAATACAGAAAAAAGAAAGCCTCGTAAAAGTTATGTGTTTCTGAATGAAAAGCTTTAACTGCATTTCTGCAAGATTTTTACAATAAACATTTTTTAATCTGTTGTTTTGATGGTGAATTGGTGGTATCAAATTAAATGGAAAGGACTTACTGAACCACTGGCATATTAAGACTTGAAGAGAATTTCAACTACTTTTCCCTTTAAAAATTCTCCTTAAAACAAACAAACAAACAGATATAATAACACTGAATCTTGCCATGGCTTCAGGATAATGTTTAAACCAAAGCACACCACAGTTGTCTTTATTTATTATATGGCAGCCCAATCTGAGGAACTGACTGCTACTCATCTAATTCTTTATGAAGGGAGGTGCACGTAGGAAGCAACCAGACAAGACAGTGGTGCATTTTGAGATAATTCTAAGGAATCTTGCTGCACTGACTGAGGAGCTTCAGATGTGGGACACATGCCTCTAGCTCCACCCTTAAGCAGCTCTTCTCTGTTCCGATTTGCTTTGACTGCAGTCCAGAGTAAATTCCACCCATCTATACCCATGCTACATATATGTGACATCAAAGTAAAAATTTAGTGCATATGTTATTTCCTAAAACTTAATTTAGAAGAGAATTCTAATTTGTCTCCTTTGAAGTCACTACTGATGCTGGGAAGCAATGCACAAGAGACTTGGACCAGAGCCCTTCCTAAAGCATCCCATTCCATGTTTTGTAGTCATGCCACAAGAGGTGTCTAAGCTGAACTTGGGGAAGAAGATCAGCACCCCCAGAGATGTGATGCTAGAAGAGCTTTCTCTTCTCACTAACAAAGGATCCAAGATGTTCAAATTACGTCAGCTGAGGGTGGAGAAGTTCATTTATGAGAATAACCCTGATGCCTTCACTGACAATTCTGTGGTAAGTTGGAGATAAAAATTTAAAAGCTGCCCCATACACCCAGGGGAAACAGGAATGGAGTGTGCCCAGGCTCACCTGTCTGAATGTGCATGAGCCGAGATGGAGGGAGGAGCATGGGGAAGGGATATCTAGTGCAGGAAAAAGCCAAAATTATATAAACACACAGTTATATCTCCTTTTGGCAGCAGCATTAGTTTCCTTCTGCAAATACTTGGTATCGGACATACAGAAGCATGAGAAAATTCAGAACTGAGTGATAAAGGCGGACTGCATGTTTGGCAGGTGTTCAGAGCTGCACAGGGCAGGACTAATTGTTTCTGTACCTATTCCATTTCTTCTTTCCAATATGGAAATGATCCATCCATGTCTAACTCTAGCTCCCGTAATTGTGATTCTATTTTTAGCCTATGATACACTTTTATGCTTCCGGCTGGGCAGAGTCCTTTGCTCATTTCTGCAGGAAGTTCCATAAATGAAAACTCAGACAGAAACCTCTAACCTGATACTGCAGTATCTTCAGTTTATTTGCTAGAAGCTACACTTGTTTTCTTCTAAAGTATTTTCCTATCAGATATGGTGTATAAACTCAGACATCCTTTCTTCTCTGCCCCCTTTCCCATGAGTTAGTACTGTTATTTAAGCTTTGAACTTCTCTACACAGCTTGTTGCTGGTGTAAAGTCCTCTGAAGATACTTAACCTTTTACAAATACAACTCTCCTTTCACTTGATTGGCAGAAGTTGTTAAAAAAAATAGAAAATGTTTCAGGCTATATATGCATTTTGATGTAGCATCTTGTCTTCTGATGATTTTTAAAATTTATTTGGTGTCATTTTGCTCCTTTATGGCATCTATTTTCCAGTCTAAGGATACTCAAGCAAAACAGTAAAAGTCAAGCTGAAGAAAATGTTCTGCTAAACAAAAGCATGCTATGTTTCACTCCTATTTTTCAGGGTTTTTTTATGTTTTCAAAAGCAGTAATAAGTAAATCTTTGTAGTTCACTTCTAAAAATGACAATTTGGGAAGCAGGAAGTGGAAAGATGCCTGAAAGACAAAATGTGATTAAAATCACAACAGTAGTTCAGCTTACAGATCAGGGATGACACACCAAAGATACAGCAAGCATATCCGGTGTTGTTAGACTTCGGGCAGTTTCTTCATCTCTTTGTGCTTTAGGTACTTCATCTCTTCAGTGAGGTAACTCCTTGAAAGGATGTGAGAATGAATCGTGTTTTGAACTTTGGACTCTTCAGATAAAAATCCTAGAAAAATACATTATTTTTATAAATACTCAGCAATCTCAGATCTCCTAAAACATATGAGAGCCAAGTTCATGTTAGAATCTGCTGCAGTGAGGAAGAGTGAGACAAAGGTCTTTTCCAACCTAGTTGATTCTATGAGTCTATAGTTCTAAATAATAAGGTGAGAGAAGAAAAAGTCCAAAGTTTCAAAAATTTGAGGGTGTCATTTAAGGGTGTCCAATCAGAGCAATACAAAGCGAATGAGTTGGGACAAACTGACTCAAAACTGGACGTGCACAAGGTCCTTCCAAGACTGACATTGCAAAGGCTGATGACAAATGCTTCATTTGTGTTAGCGGTTTTTCCTACTTTGTTTATTCACCCATGCCTTTCACTCCATACCCTTTCTGTTGTCAGTCTCTCCCTTTGTTCTGTAAGAACACCTCTGCTCCCAAGCTCTTTGAGCAAGACTGTAAGATCCTGTGCTTTGGATAAATGTATTTGGGTGTTAGACAAAAGTCTAACAAGCCTAGGATTTTCTTTACGGCTTTGCTATGTGAGAACAAAGGCATGGTCTCCAAACAGCAGCTGATAATCTGCTTTAAAATCCTCAATGATTCACTTGCATGGCTACCTTTTCTCTGTTTTATGATACAGATAACAAATCTCCATTGGTCATTTCAGGAAGACTTTGGTCTGCCCTAGAGTCTGTGCACAGAACCAGTTTAGGAGGATCACAAACATAATTGTTACCATTTGCTAGCTGCCCAGTGAGCTCTGTGCAAGGACTCTGCCAAGCTGCATCCACTGCTGCCATGGATAACTATTGTCATCATCACAGCCAGCATGAATTAGCATCTTTGCTGGCAATCAGAGCAGTGAGAAGAAAAGCTGAGTGACTGCAGCAACTGAGCCATCCTCTCTGAGAGCTGGTTGCTCTTGGGCAGGTAAAGGCAACAGATCTGTAGCCTCACTGTTATCTTCCAAACCACCAGGACAGTGCCTGACCTTAGCACCAGATAACTTTTATCTAAAAGCCCTTTTGATTGCAATGTTTGATTAGCTTTCTGTTCCCTTCCTTTCTTGCTCCTAGCTCTGCTCAAAGGCAGATGCAGAAAAGAAAGCTTAAACAAAAGGAAACTGTGGGAGGAAGACAATGGCAGAGTAAAGAATTTCTAGTGCTACTTCCAGTTACTTCCCCCTCCCAGTTAATTTTCACATCCTTTGCTCCTAAAGAAGTCTTTGTGCCTTTAAAGCTGTGGTACAGGGAAGGGATTTAAAGCTGGTGGTGTGTTTACTGCTTTTATATCATAGATTTTTAATTGTCTTAAAACATTCTCAGACACACTTAGCAAAACAGAACAGGAAAGGTCTGGGGTTCAGAACAGACTGGGGTTTTTCCCTCAAAAAAAGAAAAAGGTTTAACAGCAAGGTAATGTAATATAAAAATACACAGAGAGAAACGTTATTAAAAATAAATCAAAACCATATAAGGGGTTCCAGAATAGCCTGTGCCATAGCCATAAACCTTCCACACAAGGGAGAAGATCTCAGCAGTCATGCGTCATTGATCCACCCTCCTGCTTCTCTCCTCCTCCTTCTCCTCCAGCCAAAGAACCACACTGGACAATCAGATCACTCTCTTTACTTTTAGCAAAGAAAACACATATGTTGTGTGTGCATGAGCATCAGACCAGCTCTATGCAAAAGTGAAAACCTGCCAGTCTTTCATTAGTGCAGCTCCATCCATAAAGGCAAACTGTAGCTAAACACACAGACAAAAGGACTGACCATTCCCAACATGAGCAAAGTGAAATGCATTACATACTGTACAGCTGTGTTTGATGCTGTGACCCTCTTCTCTTGCAAATACACAATACAAGGGGATGTTTTTTGGGAAGACTGAGATTGACACTTTTAGCACACTGATACCCTGCCAAACAGGGAGTGTTTATGTGACACCCTCATTGTTTGCTGCTGGGCTGGAGAAGCTGGGCTTTGCTGAGCCTTGTCTAATAAATGAAAAGGATTTCTTATCCTCACCCCATGCTGTGCCAACGTGTCACTGAACAGTGGTTCTCTCCATGTCTCAGAGGACACTATCAACCTCACTGTGGAGCTGCAAGGTGCAACTTAACTACTGGCTAAAGACAATGAAGAAATCCTACCTTGCTATGTGCTCTATTGCTGTAGCATCTGACCAACTATAGCATGAAGGAAATTGCTACATTAATTTTTTAACACTGAAACTGAAACATGGGGTAGACTAATGGATTACCCAAAATCATAAAGAGAGTCTCAGTCTTATCTCCTGGTCTCCTAAATCCTACTTCACAGTTCAGCAATTAACAGATCAGCAGTTCACAGACCTTTTCCCCACTTCATAATGTTAAATTTATCTGGCTTCAAACACATCAAGATCGTGTGAAACTATTTTTCCCAGCTTTACAGCCCTGCTCATTATTACCCTAACTCCTAAACTGAGATATGAGAGGGTCTCAGGTTATGATCTAAGTGGAGTGAACCAGCTGAGATGTAACTTTTCTAACAAAATGAGACTTGTTGTGCTGCAGATGAATTAATGCAGAAGACCTAGAGGCCCCAACTACACCCAAAGCCATGTAAGTGTGAACATGAAGTCTGATGCCTTTTTACTTGAAAAATGACTGGTGTGGAAACAGCAAAATGACAGAGAGGAAGAGCCTTTTATTTTCCATAGCTGTTTCTGGAGCACTGTGAGAAAACTGCTGACTGAAATTCTGAAACTCAATTTCTTTCATCCACAAAGAAAATGCCACAAGGATGATATAAAATATACAAATAAGATATAAATGATTTGGGCAGTATTAGATAAAAATTCCTATTATTTAGGTGAGTGAATTCAGGCATAGAGATGAAAAAATAATTTGCCCAAAATTAAACTTTAAGTCAGAAGTAGACCTGGAAACAGAAACCAAGAGCTCAACCTGTTGTGCCTCTGAGGGCAGCATGCTTAAAAAAAAAAAAAAAGCTTAAGATACAGCTGAGGTTTCTTTTTCTTTTCTTTTCTTTTTTCTTTTCTTTTCTCTTTTCTTTTTTCTTTTCTTTTCTTTTTTCTTTTCTTTCTTTTTTTTTATAAAGTCAATCATAGGTTTCCAGGACCAAGGCACAGACTTTGATAAAAACAGTAGGAAGTCTCTGAGACTCTCCAAGTGTCTGAATTTTAAACCTCCCATCCCACTGTTAAGGAGCATTTGAGTGGCTGTCACTGAGAAGATTCAGTCACAGTAACTTCAGAAGTGTTAGTAACCACATAGGCATCAAATCTTTGGGAAGTTCTTTATCAGTGAGGTGGAAATAGAAACACATTTGGTGGCCTCAATCATTCTCTTTAGGGCACAGCAAGAGCTGATGGGAAGCACACAGTGTCTCCTCCTGGGGACTGCCTTGCAGTGACGTCAGGGCCTTGAGATGCTTAGAGATCTCAGCTCCATTAGTTGGATCATCTTTCATTATCTGTTTTTCATGAGGCACATGCAGTAGCTCCAGAGAATTCAGAATTCATCTATCTGGGCACTCAGCCTGCAGGATCAGGCTCTTGCTGTCACTAAAGACTTTAAAGACATGAGCCTAATTTGTTTAGCCAACCCAGGGAACATCACACAAACTTACTACATTTGTTCCCTTGTTAAAGTGGATATAGGGACACCCAGGGACTGGATAACATCCCAGTAACATGCAGACAGGGCAGACCATACCAGGAAGGAACTGTGTGATCTGCCCCAGAGCCAAATAGAGAAGGTTATTAGCCTTCTCAGTTGACATTCTGGTGGTTTACACACGCCTAGGCTTCTCTCCTGGGACTTCTACCAACAGGGTCAATCAACCCTAACTGAGAGGCTGGTTTTGTGATGTAAATATGCATATACATAAAAGCTCCACATACTGTTAGCAATGGCTCAAGACACACATTCCCCTCGAGTGTAAGCCCTGTTTCACTCTGAATACACTGAGCAGAGGCATGATGTAAGTACTGAGGACAGAGCTGCACCTACCCAGCTTTGCTTACATTGAGACTCCTGCTTGAGGCTGCTGCTCCTGAGCTCTCCTCTGTTGGAATGAGCTCATTTTAATCTACTAAAGATTTCAAAAAGATTAATTTGTCTTTGTCCTCTGCTAATCTGAGCTAAGACAATCTATTGTGGAGGCCAAAACTAAAGAAAAACATATTTTTATTCTAGCAAGGGGGTAGACTGGGTTATTACATAGAAAATGGGTCTTTCCTATCTAAATGGAGATGTTTGCTAAACACAGGATGTTTTCTCAGGAGGTCCATGAAGAATCCTGAGACCAATCAAATTAATTTCATTTGCAGCTAAGTAAGATTTAGGTGTGGCTTACCTGAGGCAAACCTTGTGTTTCAGAGAAAATTCACTCCTCTTTAGTGATAATACTGCAATTTTAAATAACACCAGGTGACAATGATGCTCCTTCCTGGTCAAATCAAATACTGCTATGTAGAAAATCAAACCAGCCCTTTTTACTGTATTGCATGTTATGCTGATGTTTCATGACCTTATTTTTTTTTTTTTTTCCAGGAGAGTGCATATAAATAACCAGAGGAAAAGATAAATAAGCATTTAATTATCTGGAAGGGTACAGAGCATGGGTGAAACTTAAAAAAAAACAGATGCAAATCCTGTTTTGAAATTACTGAGCAAATTAGTAGCATTAACCTTGGATACATATTAACATTTTAAGAATAACCTCATTTTGACCTCTAGACCTCAAAATACCCTTCTTTCAGTTTGCCTTTTTACAGCTACATATCTCTCATGCATAACTGAACAGATTGCCCTACTGGTTCCTGTGTACAGCTTAGTGTTCACAATCTCTCTCCTCTCAGTGCTTCCTGACATTCAGGGGAACATTATCCCTCTGCTCCTAAAAAGGGAATTCCCTACAGCTAGGAGGACAGACAGTCCCTAAAGGCCCTGGGGGCACCAGCTCTGCCACTTCAGCCTGCAGCTGGCTGCCTGCCTGGGTTGCAGCCCGGTGACCTGCTGTGAAACCCTGGACACTGCTCCTGGAGACACAGGGAACTCAGGGTAAATAATTCTGCCTTGAGCCTTGTGGGGTTTTCACTTCTCATCTATTTTTAGCTGACCAAACAGCTGGCCTTGGAAGCCTGTTTACAGCCTGGAAAGCGTCTTTTTTGCTAAACTGTACTAGGTGTAAAAGTCCTGAGAAAGTTTTAACCCTCTGAGAGCCAGGCCTGAGGTTGGCACTCTTGTCTGCCATTAACTGCCTGAGATGAATTTATTCAAGCAGAAACACAGCACAAGGAACCACAGATTCATTCACTTCATCTGTATATTTGTTGCATCTTTGTGCATCTACAGCCAGTCCCCTAGTCCAACAGGAAAAAACATATGTGATGCATAACCCAAGTTACTTTTATTATACATCCATGTGGGCTGTAATACATACATAAGAGATACTTTTTTATATCTGATAGGAGTCAAGATTTGATCTTGTTTATGAGCAATACATAAAGTATTTTTCTGAACATACTGTCAGTTCCTGTTCCCCACAAGTATTTATTAAAATTGGTGTGCAAAACCAGGACCTTGTGCTGGCACCAAAAGGTGTATAAATCATGCACTGACTGTTTGCTCTTTCACTATGTACTACAGGGATTGTGCAGATTCTATCCTGGACTTGGCAGAGAGGATGGCCTGGCAAATAAGACCAACTTGCTTTTAGTGATGGACACAGTTTGCTTTCTTACCCTGTTGCTGGTTAGATTTGGTTCATTTATGCATGTATTACTATATGCAATACTCTTCCTGTCATTTTCCTCCTGTGGTGTCCAGAACATCTTTCATGTTTTTCCAGGCTGCTATCTCTTCAATCCCGCAGATGTAAATATCCTGACCCATGCAGACCTTCCTTCATATGGAAAACAGACACGTGGGTAGTCATCTTTCAGGCTTTTATTTTGTCACAGGTACCCTGTTGTTCTGCTGCCCTGTAACACTTAGCTCCCACACTACAACCACACTGACTTTGCTGGGCTATCTTAATCTTGACATGAAAACACTTCCTATGTAAAAAGTATCTCTCTGGACCTTTACCTGCTCTGGTAAAGCTGCATTTCCATTCCCTTCCTCCTGTATTTCATACTGATCACTGCTGGAGACAAAACACAGCTTGCTCTCTTCTCACCCTGATGAAATGATTGTGAGACGTCCATTAAAAGGTGTGTTTCCTTTGTCCTTACTACTGTTCAACAACTTACTGTTCAACAACTGCTTCTATACGTAATATAAACAATAACTCACATAAAGTTCTGCCACAAGGTTTTGTAACTGAGACACAAAACTGGTCAGATTACAGAGACTCAGGAGTTCATGTTCTGAAATGTAAATGGACCATGTCCTGTAACAGGGATTCCTATTGTTCTTTTTTTCTTACCTTAGGATCACTTTCAGAAGTTCATCACACCAGGAGGGCATTACGGTGAAGATGCTCAAGGCTATGCCCATGGGAGGATGGTAGGAGGAGTGACAGCTGGACAGCATGGCTCCAATAAGCAGCAGTATCCTGGTGCTCCTCCTAGGCCTGGAAGCAAAGGCGGCGCTAGGGACAGCAAAGGGGAGCATGCTGGGGAATCAGCTGGAAGTGGTGGAGAAGGAGGTGATGGTACTGAGAAAGGCAAGTATTTCTCTGCAGGACTAAGAAACAGCTAAAGCTGTCAGAGCTCATGCTAACCCTACTCCTAGGGACAAGTAGATAAATTTGTCTAAAACACGAATTGTTCCAAACTAAGTTCCATTGCAAAATCTAGAAAAGTGGAACTGCCCTCAGCTTGACAGTTTTGTTTGCGTGCTTCTGTTGCTTAATCATATGCAAGAAGCAGAAATACCTTCCTTGACTGGACCAAAAAAATTATAGAAAGCCTAACTATTACATGAGCTCCTAAGGTTGATAGAGCAGTATGCCAGTATTTCATACTCTTTCCTTTCAAGGGTTTCACACTGACCATCACTGGAGCAATTTTCTCAGTAGTCTGACCCAACACATCAGTTTCGAGTATATGAGTCCTGATTTCACATCAAAGTTTCCATCTAAACAAACAGCACTTTCTCGATAACCTTCAGAAAGGAACTGCATATTTGTAAAAGTTATCTGGTAATCACCACTGGTCTACTGAAGCAGTACCTTTACTAGTAAAAGTATTTTTCATTGAATTCAGTCTTGTATGAGAATCAGCAGATGAAATCATTATTTTAGCAGTCCCTATGGGATTTTACAACAAAAAGTAAATTTGCTTGGGAACCAGGAATCACTGTCATAAGTGACCAAATGAGTGACTTGTAAAATCCAAGGTAGCTCATTTACATTCTGGAAGCATGTGCACTTTGTATCAAAAGTTGCTTTTACATTTCTGACCATATCTGTGGAAAAGAAAACTGTGTAGAGTATATGCCTTGTTACAGGAGATTTTTCTCCATTGTTACCCTACTTCTACGTGCAGGGAGAGGGAGGATTAATATCATCCTGTAGTTTTCACTGCAGAAATGGATCCCAACTGCCTTTATTTTTCAAACCTAGCAATCAATTTACTTCTAGAATACTTTGTTTCAGTCCTTCACACAGAAAGAAGGAGATAGCTGGTTTTATTTTTTAATGAAAATAAGATTGTTGTACATGTCTGCAATTCTCTGCAACCAAAGCCTAGGATTTCTCAAGGTTTGAATAAAATAAGCAAAACAAAGAAAGCAGCTGTGGTAAGTAAGAAAATTTCAGTTAAGACTGGTAATACTCATTCTTCGCCACTTACTTCATAAGGTTGTTTCCAACACAAACTGTAGCACCATTAAAGCACCAGAATGCCTGACTCCATTAACCTATTATTCCTATCAGCCCTAATCAAGCTAAGCAGAAGTTATTGCTCAGGAGTTCTAAGGCTTATGAAGGATAAGTATCTCAAAAGCATGCTATATATCAATACACAACCAATGCTCTTATTAGCAAGGGGGTATTATACAGAATTGGAAGGGAGGGAAAAAGAAAAGAGGCACACAGAATGAAAACTTTTGTCTAAGCTCATTTGCTTAGTGAAGCACCCAGAAGCATGTGACTGAACACCAAAGTGCAGCTCTGTCATTGACAGGATTTCAACTTCCAGAGAGAGAGCCTGTCGTATTTTCCAACTGCTTTTAGACATTCTGAGGTGTTTGAGCCAAATTTGTCTCTAACATTCTGTTTCAGGAGAGGGAAAATATGAATGTCTGTTCATGTAATCACAAAGAAAATGTCAATTTATAGAAGTACTGAGGCAAGGGAGATGATCATTTTAGAACATTCAAGAATGAATGAAGGCATTGGTAAAGATGGTTGTGAGTTGCCAAGACCCTCTTACAGCTTAAGCCCAGCTGGCAACTAAGCACCATGCTGACTTCCCCCCTACCTGGTGGGATGGGAGAGAGAATTGGAAGACTGAAAGTGAGAAAATTCATGGGTTGAGATAAAGACAGTTTAATAGGTAAAGCAAAAGTCACACAAGCAAAGCAAAACAATAAATTCACACACCACTTCCCATTGGCAGGCAGGTGTTCAGTCATCCCCAGGAAAGCAGGGCTCCATCATGCGTAACGGTTACTTCAGAAGACAAATGCCATCACTCCCAACATCCCACCTTTCCTTCTTCTTCCCTCAGCTTTATATGCTGACCATGATGCCATAAGGTATGGAATATCCCTTTGGTTGGAGGGGACGTCAGCTGTCCTGGTTGTATTCCCTCACAACTTCTTATGCACTCCCAGCTTGCTTGCTGGTGGGGTGGTGAGAAGCAGAAAGGGCCTTGACTCTGTACCATTCAGCAACAACTAAAACTTCCCTGAATTATCAACACTGTTTTCGGCACAAATCCAAAACATAGACCCATACTAGATGCTGTGAAGAAAATTAACTCTGTTCTAGCCAAAACCAACACAGAGCCTGAAACATGATGGTTAAAGGGTTTTGGTCAGTTTGAGTCAACTGAAAAGTTTGAGTCTAGTTTTGGAGTTTATACTCAGGGCTTTGTTTGGTGCATCTGATGATGATGGTAAAGTTGATCTGGAGGGGTTTTATCTGCTATGATCAGACAGAGAAGAAAGAAATAAATTATGAAATTAGATAGCATTTTGCCTTGTATAAAGCTTCCCCTGAGGTAGTGAAAGAGGTGACAGGGTAGGGATACTGGTTCTTGGGGTAAGAGGTTTTTATTTGAGTGACCAGGGAGAAGAATGAAAAATCAGCTTTCAAATATATGCTTTAATGTAAATTCCTGGATGAGTGGCTTTTAGACAGTGGCACACCTGCTTTCGTGGATAAGGTCAGAAGTGGTGTATGCCAGTCTCTTTTACAAGAAATCTAACCGTAACTTCTTGGACTTGATCTAGCAGTTTCAGAATCTGGAAATAAAGCTGGTGTCTTAACTTCAGTAGCAGAACGCAAAAAAAGCAAGGTACTTTGAGCATCATCTAACAGGAGTGTATTACCTTCCTCTGTTTACAGATGGAAAGTCAGGAGGCAAAAAAATCACTGTATTTAAAACTTATATCTCTCCCTGGGAACGAGCAATGGGTATCAGCCCAGAGGACAAAAGTCAGTTCACCATTGACTTACTGTCATACAGTCCCAAAGCTGATTTCCCCCATTACAAGTCTTTTAACCGGTAAGTCTTCTTGGTTATTCAGGTTGGTTTATTTAGCATGAGAAAACACAATAACCCTGGCCATAGCCCTCCCATCTTGTGCAACGTAAATAAGGTTTAGCTACATGCCATTTTGCTTAGCAGTCTTCCATGGATGAAACATCTAGAGGTCTACAAAGAGAAGATACATAAAAAGCTAGAGATTTTAATAAAGTTTATGAACGGAAAACCTATACAGCTGCATAAGAGGATTTTAATCCTATTTCCCTTCCTTTCTCACCCCATCTGACCAGGGAGATTTAGCTTGCCACTGTTTATTACTGCAGCCATTTAAAGTTCTAGAAAAATACTTACAATCAGACAACATATATTTCACAGCACTCCAGATAAGAATCAGAATTTCCTGCTCTTTCTGATAAGAACTGAGAGTTTTACAAATATTTCTAGGGCAGCAACAGTATTCTGTTAACCTCTGTATGTAATTTTGCTACCCACTTCCATAGCCTCAGGACATCAATACCAAAGACAAACACAAATCCCACTCATTTCTGCAATAATGCAGCCTCTGCCTCCTATATGTATGGGGTACCATCAGGTATGAAAAGTGTATGACTTAATAGAGACTGATGCAACAGGAGTGAAGGAAGTACACAGGCGCAAAGACGTGGTGGTTTTGTTTTTTAGTACATAGGCAATGGATGCATATATGTTTTCAGGAAGGATTTGTGGCTAGTCAACTGCAACAGCAACATAATGCTGACTGTTTATTTTCTAAATCCTGTCATTTACTTATGCTGTGTTCACTAACTCCATGTATTTCTCATGCCAGGACTGCCATGCCTTATGGGGGTTTTGAGAAAGCAGCCAAACGGATGACCTTCAAAGTGCCTCAGTTTGATATTTGCCCTTTGCTTCCAGAATCTCTCATGATATATAATCAAAATTTCAGCAGCAGACCCTCCTTCAACAGAACCCCTATACCATGGATGCCTTCAGGAGACTCCTCTGAGTATCATACTGAAATCAATGTGCCAAGGAGTGGTGAAACAGAAGAGCTGTAAACCCCTACTGTCAAGACCTTCCTCAGCCCTTTCTATTTGTAAGTTGATAGGAAGGAGCTGAAGAGTGCGACTCTAGTTCCGTCAGCCTTTCCTTTCATTTCCCCTTAGGCCAGACAAGATCCTAGCAGGTTCTAAACTTATCTCCACCGGGAGTTAATCCATCAGAAACAGTTTGAGGGAAAGAAGCTTTTTATTCACCAGGGCATAAAAAGGCAAAACTAGGAAGTGTTTTTCTGCTAAATGCTGCCTGTCTGCTCCATCATGAATCTGTTTTGTCATATCATAACAAGTAATAAAACACCACGAGATAAAAAAGCCTTTGTGTTTTCTTGTTAAAAAACGCAGCTGAATCAATTTGGGGAATAGCAATAATAAAAGTTTCAATCTTATAGCTAGACTGTTAGTACGTGAAGAAAGAGCGAGGACTGATGGGGATGCTCATAATATACGTATACATCCAGATGGCTTGGATAAATACTGCAAAACTGACGGTGGAGAGTGATGACTCTGAGAGGAAACAATACAGGTAATCTTAACAACATCAGAGGTATTAACAATATCAGAGGTAAAATAGCAAGTCAGGCCTGTCACTGTAATAGACAGATTAAAGTACTTCACTGTCACCTAAAGTTCCCAGTTCTCCAAGGTATAAAACAGGTGATAGCTTAAGCAGGGGTTTGTTTTTTTTTGTTTTGTTTTTGACATAGAGAAGCCAAGAAGGCAATAGGTTGGGAAAGAAGAGGCACACCCAAGTGAGATGACTTACCCATAGTTACAGAGCAAGAAAATAAAAGCTTTAGTTATAACAGAAATAATTTGACACCTGCCACAGTGCATTACTTATCAAAGTACACAGAAGAGTCTACTCCACTTCTTGTAACAGCTTTATCGATGCAACACATATAGGAAGAAAGGCGGGCACTGTAGAAAACCAATAAAGAAGTTTATTTTTCTACATTAAATACCTTCTGTTTCATGAACATTTGAATTCTGACACATACATAACACACGAGACTGCTGTTTCATTACCATACCCTACCTCAGCCTGCATGGAGACTGGTTTGGAATTCTCTGTCCTCGTGCCTTCCTTAGATCAACAATTCCTCTTATAAATAGGGATAAACAGCTTATTTAGAGGGACAGCTTCCATGGAAGTACTTTCAATTTAGGAAATTTTCCTCCTTGTCTAGAAACCCCAACCATATATTTGATTTTTATTCTGTTTGGATAGTTATGGGCTTGTCTTTGTTACACTCCTCTAAAAGGCTACTGCCAGGGCTACCCTGAGATCTCTTAAAAGATGTGCTAACAATAAACTGCAGAAGTGATGTATGAGTAATTTCCCAACCTTTTTGCTGAAATGGCTATAGAACATTTATTATATGTCTTATTAAATGATTAAGAAGTATCCATAACTCAGTTTTGTAACTAAATCTAAAACTTGGTAAATTGATCTTCTGAAAAACATTTCAACAAAAATAAAAAGGTTGGGTTTTTTGACATGTTCTTACAAAGTATTTGAAGTTTCATTTGAAAACAAATTCTCAGAAAAACTTGGTTTGTATCTTTGGATAAAATCTTTGGATAAAATGGATCCAGGAATTAGCTGAAAACATATTTCCCACACTGATTTCCTTTTTTAATGCCTACATAAATACATGAAAATTTCACTGGTGAAAGACATCTAAATGGGAAATTCTCATATTCTACTAAACTATTAGTTTATTCTATATTTGAGCTCTGTCTGCAGATAAGGATGCTGTGGGTTTTTCAACATTATTAATCAATCTAGCTTTTTCAGCTGCAGTGTAATTAAGGGGGAGGAGATTTCTTTTCCAGTTTGAAAAGTATTCTACTATATTACAAGAACCCAGGCTATGAAGAGAATGCCAGAAGTTCAGAAAGACAAAGGAAATCTCAGAGAAAACTAGGCAACACTATGCAAAATATTTTCCCACCAAATATGCCATTTATGGCTTTGCCTTTTCTGACACAGATTTTAGACTCTAACAACACAGAATTACATTATTTTCTTAAAGTGAAATACATGGTGTTTTCATTGTAAATATGTCAGGAGCAGCAGAAACAAGACAGTTTGATACCTGGATGTCATGGTCTGTTTTCAACAGCAGGTGTTCCAGATCACGGGCCAGTTAGACATGTCAAAGTGCAGAGGGCTAGCTGCTCCAAGGAGGGGTGAGCCCCAGGCAAGCCCAGCACAGGCAGTGCCCTCACCAACCAGCACACAACCACACAACATCTGAACATGGCAGGCAGAGCTGCGTGCTTGTGACAAGGTTCATCAGTCATCCCAGACATGGTGGGAGACGAATCAGGCACAGGGATCATCCAGAGAATCTGATCAGGAGCTAGAGGAAATAGGGCTGGACACAAACTACACTGTTGGTCCAAAGTCCATCTATCAGACAAGCTAGCTCAAGCACAGGTCCCAGGTCCACCCAGAAGAGAAGAGTCTAAATGAAAGACCAAATAAAATAGGTCTTTAAACATAGGTAGGAAATGCTGTAGAGAAGATAGCACAGTGCTCTGTGGTGGTGTAGTTTCAAAGCTCTTGCATATAAGGAAGGCAGCATCATCCAGCAAGTAGGTCAAAGGACTGGGACTCAAAGCTCTCTGTGCTTCATAATGTACTGCTGGACAAGAGCTTTCACCTGTGCGCTCCATTATCACAAACCCTAAATGGGGATAAAAAGTTGCAATGCGCTTGGGATTAGAATTGTAGCTCTGAAAATTATTAATGATATTGCTATAATTCATACTTATAAGCTAAGAGGATCCTTTGGTTTTGGTAAATTTACTTAACAAGGCATATAGATCTTTTGCCAGCACACTTTCAGTCTCAAATCCTGTCAAGCAGGATTTATGTGGTTTTGTTTCTAGTACAAAACAAGAAAGAACACTACATGTTGTAGAACAATTCAGACTATTGTCTTGATGTTTACATATCTTAAGATGCATGCTAATTTAGTCATCGTTCAAAGTAATGTTAAATGTGAGAAAAAACAGTAATGCAGATTCTGCCTCAAAAATAATTAATTTCAGTAAGGCTTGCAGCCACTGTAATCAGAGCAGAAGTTTGTCCAAAATGATCAAATATTTAAAAGGAAGTAAGTAACTGTTCTTGCTCTTTGCTTTCCTAGGGCTGTGATGTAGACTCAGGGGAATTGCCTGTGTCAGAGAATTATTTATACTGGGAGTAAGAGGATTTTATAAGATTTAATTACAGTGGATTTCCCCACATACTAGGCGCTACGGAATGGAAACTCAGTCATCTGCTTCTAAGCAGGATCATCATAGTTACAGATAAAAAAGAACTAACAAATTATTAAGCTCATCCTCTTGTAAAGGCAGGCTACAGTTCCCTCACGGAGGATGTACTGGATATTAAGCTTACACTCTATGGAACAGGAGCCAAAAATCCATTTAACAGAGATGGAATGCCCATAAAAAACAGACTGGACAGAATTTTGTGACATTGAGATCTTTCATTCAGAACAAAAAGTTCTTACATTTAACAATGTTACTTTTAGGAATATTATTTTACAGTTTCCCAGCTTGGAAATGTTTGCCTCATAAGGCAACTTGTATGATACAGAATACAAGCTATACTGAAAATGCATAAAAAATAGTGCCTGCATTTTAATGTAAAAGAAAGTTGTTCAACAAAATCTCAGCAATACTATCCATAAATATGGAATTGTATGTTTTAAAATCTTGCCTGAAGTTACAGCTGATGGCATAAATATTTGGCAGGTAGTAGCACACTTTATACGCTTCTTGGTATAGCACAGAAAATCTTCCATTTGACTTGAATACATTCCCTAATCGAAGGGTTTGCATCTCGTAATTGCCTCTCATGTGAACAGCTTTCCATTAGTGATGATGAGGATATAATTCATACAACTAACATGTGGGAATTACATTTTATGTTATTATTGACAGAGCATTTAAAGGAGATGGTTTTGCCATTAGGCTTAGTGGGTCTCTGAAATAAAATGTGGAACAGTATCAGGCTGTTGGGAGAATACAGGCTTTATCTTGTTTGACTTTTTAAAGATCGCACTGTGAATATATAAAATGCATTTACTTCTCTTATACAAGATGGCAGGCACCAGACCGCCAAGAGCATGAACACAACTGTTCTGTTATGGAGCAAAGAGGTCTGCATGCAGCTGTCCCTCCATGAGAAGTGCTGATTTGTTGCACAAGGCTTGACATTCATTGCACTGAGGTTATTTTCCTGCCTAGCTTGTCTGCAAGTATATGTTCTCTTCCATAGAAGACTGCCACAGGTACGATCATCTGGCAAACACCCCACTTCCAAATGACTGCCCTCTGGCATAACAAGCTGCTGTTAGCACTTCTCTGGCAACTTACAAGGTCCACCACTGTTCATCAGCAGCACGTATGCTAATTTCTCTTAAACGAGTATTAGAAAAGTTTGCAAGCCAGTCTACTGGCTCACAGCACATTAATACATTTATATGCAACCTCATCTATGCCCACAGCCTCAAATTGCAGGTTATAAACTAGTTTAGACAAGTTGCCTATACTGTCTGGGAGATGTGCCTGACCAGGACCACAGATAATTAAGCAGAATTTGCAGACACACACAGAAGCAAGTTTGCACACATTTTGTGGAACCCTACAACTTTCATGAACTGCTGAGTATATGGAATTTGAGACACTATTAATTATATTCATGGCATCATATATCTACCAGTAGAAGTCTCTTCAGCTAAGGTAATTAATTAATTAGCCATGCCTTTATGCTATACCTCTTGCTCTCTGTGTATTTAACACACAGTAAGTGCCATCTTCTCTCAGATAATCATCTTCTGCTTGCATTACAGCTTACATGATGCTTTAATGAGTGCAAGAACTTGCTCAGATATATACTGTGTTAACACATGGAGTAAAGGGAAGAGAACTACATAAACCACTCTGAAGCAATGCTTTTAAATGCAACTTAAACTCCAGTCAGCTTGATAACCAAATTCTCAAAATATAAATTCTTAATTTAATTTCAATTACACTTTTTAGAAATACTATTTATATCAAAACTTTTAATGTACACTTTCCAACTTTCTTGAAGGAAACCTGCAGACTCTTTTTTGTTTGCTAGTTTTGACCTTTTGATTAACAATAAAAAGCCACAAAATATTTTTAATTTTAAAGAAAATTAATTTTAGAATTAAAATTTATAATAAATAATATATTCATTATATTATATATTGTATGAATATTATAAATAAAGATAAAATATAAATATATAATAAATATAATAATAAATTTTAATAATAAAGAATTTTAATTTTAGAAGTCTGGTTTTCATTTAAAGAAAATTCCATCTGATGGACTTTCAGGA